TGCAAATCTTTTTCAAAAAGACGAAATTGATGAAATCACTGCAGAATTAGTTCCAATTATGAAGAAAATTGATCCTAAAAGATTGCCAACTCAAGATAATTTATATGACTTTTTCATATCACGAGCACGAAACAATCTTCATGTAGTTTTGTGTTTCTCACCCGTTGGAGAAAAATTCAGAAATAGAGCACTTAAATTTCCTGGTATAATTTCTGGATGTATGATTGATTGGTTCCAAAAATGGCCCATGGATGCGCTGGTGTCTGTGTCATATCATTTGCTCAAAGACTATGAAATCAAGTGTCCTGTGGAAGTTAAACATCAGTTAATTGAAATGATGGCTTTTGTTCAAGATAAAGCTTCAGATACATGTACAGATTATTTTGAAAGGTAATTTACTAAGAAAAAGGTTTTTTTTATAAAAAATAATAATGTTAACAATTCATTTTACTTAACACAGATTCCGACGTCAAACACACGTTACTCCTAAATCATTTCTGTCATTTTTGGCAAGCTACAAAGAAGTTTACAAAATGAAATTAGAATCAATAGAAGATCAGTCTATGAAAATGTTCAATGGATTAGGAAAACTTAAGGAAGCAGCTGAATCTATTGATGTTTTGAAGAAGGAAATGGAAGTAAAAAAGGTTGATATCGTGATAGCCGAAGAAAAGGCAAATGAAGTTATAATTAATGTCGAGAAGAGCAAATTGATAGCTGCTGCAGCACAAGAAGAAGTGTTGCAACAAAAAACTATCCAAGAAGCTCTCGTTGAAACGATTTTAAAAGCACGAGAAATCGCAGAGGTTGAATTAGAAAAAACTCTACCTCAACTTCAACTAGCAGAAGATGCTTTAATGACAATTAAAGGACAAGATATTGCTGTTGTGCGACGTTTAGGAAAGCCACCACATTTGATTACGGTGATCATGGATTGTGTATTAATTCTCTGTCATAAGAGTTTAGATTTAGTCAGCATGGATTGGGAGAAGAATTTCCTCAAAACAACTTGGGGAGAATCAATAAAAATGATGAGTGATGTGAGCTTCTTGAAAAAAATTCGAGACTTTAAACGAGATGCTATCGATGCAGAAACTATTGATTTACTACAACCATACTTCGATTATCCTCAATATACAGCTGAGGCAGCGATGATAGCTTGTGGGCAAGTTGCTGGATTATTAAAATGGACAAGAGCAATGGCTGATTTCTATAAAGTAAATGTGAATGTAATTCCTTTAAAAACTGATTTAGCTGTCAAACAAAAGCAACTTTCAAAAGCAGAGAATGAACTAAAAGAACTAGAAAATACTCTTGAACAAAGAAATAATGAAGTAAAAGCAGCTGAAAATGATTTTCTTATTGCTAATGATGCTTTACAAGCAGTCAAAGATGATGCTGCATTGCTTCAAAGCAAATTAGATGCAGCTCATGCCATGATCACAGGACTCTCCGATGAAAGAAAAAGGTGGACTGAACAAATAGAACTATTTAAAAGTGAAATCAATCGACTTGTTGGAGATGTATTGATATTGACTGGATTTCTTTCCTATACTGGTCCATATAATCAACAATTTAGAGCAATGATCCAAGTTGAATGGCAACAGGAATTGAAAAGAAGAGAAATACCTTTTTCATCAGATATTGATGTTGTAGAACGATTAACGGATACAGCAACAATTGGTGAATGGAATTTACAAGGCCTTCCAAATGATGAATTGTCTATTCAAAATGGAATTATTGTAACGCAAGCACCACGTTATCCACTTTTAATAGATCCTCAATCTCAAGCAAAATCTTGGATTAAACAAAAAGAAAAGGACAGCCTTATTGTAACAACACTAAGTAACAAGTTCTTCAGAAATCATCTAGAAGATGCGATTCAGCAAGGCCTTCCTATTCTGGTTGAAGATGTTGGAGAAGAACTTGATCCTTGTTTGGATAATCTTCTTGAGAAAAATTATATTAAAATGGGAGGATCATTCAAAGTTAAAATTGGAGACAAAGAAGTTGATATTCACAATGATTTTCGCTTGTTCATTACAACTGAACTACCAAATCCAGTTTATCCTCCAGAAATTGCTGCAAGGACTTGTATCATTGATTTTACTGTAACGATGAAAGGATTAGAAGATCAATTGTTGGCGCGTGTCATACTCTCAGAACGTTCAGAAATCGAAACAGAACGCATACAATTAGATATGGATGTTACAGCAAATAAAAAGCTTAGTAAGGAACTCGAAGCAAACCTATTGTACAAATTATCTACAACAGAAGGTAGTCTTCTTGATGATTTAAGTGTAATGGAAGTTTTAAATGAAAGTAAAGCTAAGGCAATAGAAATTAAAGAAAAATTGGAATCAGCAGAAGAAACAAAAGAGAGCATTAATCAAGCACGCGAAGAGTTCCGTCCAATTGCATCACGTGGAAGTGTTTTGTATTTCTTGATTGTAAAGATGTCTCTTGTCAATAATATGTATCAAACCTCATTGGTTCAATTTCTTGAAAGGTTTGATTATTCGCTAGCAAATTCCGACAATACTCCAATGACATTTAAGCGAATCAACTTCATTATTGACTATTTAACTTATGACATTTTCAAGTACAAATCACGTGGGCTTTATGAAACTCATAAATTCTTATTTGTACTACTCATGGCCCTAGACATAGATTTGCAGAGAAACCGTATCAATTTTGACGAATTTCAAAATTTCATAAAGGGTGGTGCAGCTTTAGATATAAATACAGCTCCTGCAAAAACATTACGATGGGCAACCGATATAACTTGGCTCAATCTAGTTCAGCTTTCCTTTCTACGACAATTTCACGGAATATTAGATCATATCAAAGCAAATGATAAAGCTTGGAAACAATGGTATGAGAAAAATGCACCGGAAGATGAGTCTTTACCAGTTGGTTATCATACACTCGACACTTTTCGGAAACTTCTTATTGTACGATCATTTTGCTTGGATAGAACGCTATCACAGAGTAGAAAATACATAGCATCATCACTCGGTCCAAGATTTGCAGAAGCTGTTGTTTTAAATTATGAAGCAATGCATGAAGAAAGTCGTCCGTTAACACCTTTAATATGCTTCCTTTCTATGGGCTCAGATCCTACACCGTCAATTGAAGCATTAGCAAAAAAGAATCAGATAAAAGTATCTGCCATTTCAATGGGTCAAGGACAAGAAATTCATGCACGGAAATTAATTAAAAAATCTTTAGAAGATGGTTCTTGGGTGCTGCTTCAAAATTGTCATTTGGGACTTGAATATATGAATGAGTTAACTCTCCAATTAATGCAACTTGATAAAGGAGACGAAGGATATCATGCAATGTTTCGATTGTGGATCACAACAGAAGTTCATCCAAACTTTCCAATCACAATGTTACAAATGTCAATCAAATTTACAAATGAACCGCCATCTGGTATAAGAGCTGGTTTAAAGAGAACATTTAATTCGATGACTCCGGAAATGTTCGATTTCAGTGATTCACCAAAATATGTTCCACTTATCTACGCAACATCGTTCTTGCACACAATTGTTCAAGAAAGAAGAAAATTTGGTGCATTAGGTTGGAACATACCGTAAGTTTTTATGTTTTTATAGCTTTTAACTCAAGAAAAACTAATTTTTTAATGATTATTGATTCTATTTGACAGTTATGAATTCAACTCATCTGATTGGCTGGCAAGTTGCTTGTTCATGCAGAAGCATTTGGAAGATGTGAATGAAAATATAAGCTGGAAAACAGTAAATTATATGATTGGAGAGGTTCAATATGGTGGTCGTGTTACTGATGATTATGACAAGCGCTTACTTAACTGTCTATCAAGGGTGTGTATTATTTTTTCGTCTATGAATCATATGATTCATATTTTTTTCCCCAACAGTCTTACTTCAAAGATGAAATGTTTGGTGAAAATTATGAATTTTATCCAAGCTATAAAATTGTCAAATTTCGAACACTGGAAGAATACGATGGCTATTTTGAAACAATGACCACCGTCGATCCACCTAATGCATATGGTCTACATGCAAATGCAGACATTACATACCAAACAAATAAAACAACAGAAATTCTCGACACGATTATCTCAGTTCAACCAAAAGAATCATCTGGTAGTGCTGGTGAAACTAGAGAAGCTGCAGTAACTAGGCTAGTGAATGAAATGTTGTCACGATTGCCTAAACCATATGATGAGTTTGATGTTAAGCAAAGATTAACAATAGACATAACACCAATGAATATCTTCCTGCGACAAGAGATCGATCGAATTCAGAAAATTATTCTCCTTGTCAATTCAACATTGTCTGATTTGTTGTTGGCTATTGAGGGAACAATTATAATGAGTGAAAATTTACGAGACGCATTCGATAATATTTATGATGCAAGAGTTCCGAAAGTTTGGAAGCGAGGCAGCTGGCTTTCATCAACATTAGGATTCTGGTTTACAGAATTAATCGAAAGGAACAAGCAATTTTCAACATGGTGTTTTAAGGGAAGACCGAATGTGTTTTGGATGACAGGTTTCTTTAATCCTCAAGGATTTCTCACAGCAATGCGTCAAGAGACGGCACGAGCGAATGTTGGATGGGCACTTGATAAAGTCATCTTGCAGAATGAAATAAAGAAATTTGCTTTGGCTGATTGTAAAGAAGGCCCTAAATCTGGAGTATACGTTCATGGATTATATCTTGATGGTGCTAGTTGGAGTAGACGAGATATGAAAATGTGCGAATCTACAAATAAAATTTTGTATATGCTGATGCCAGTAATAAGAATTTATGCCAGCAATGTCAATGAGAGCAAAGGACAAAACGTGTATGAATGTCCAGTTTACAAAAAGTCTAATCGAACAGACTTAAACTTCATAACAGCACTTAACTTGCCAACAAGCATTCATCCTGATCATTGGATTCTTCGTGGTGTCGCTTTACTTTGTGATATTAAATAATTCTCTATATTCAAAATTAAATAAAATTAAAATCTGAAGTTGCATATTTAAATGCTTATAAATTTATTTATTGACGCAATCTAAGTTAACACATCTATGACCTCAAATGTATATAAAGTTTAAAGCATAATTTATAATTTCTTACTAATCCTAAGAGCAGCACAATTAAGTCTTAAATCATTTTTCAAATCACTTTAAATTTTTTCTACTCAATGTCACATTGCCCCAAACAGATTGCGGCCAGCCTGTTCTCTTTTTGTCTTCACCATGATTTTGCTGTTGTTCTATTTGACTCTGAAAATACAAAGAAATTATTGTGGTGATTAATAGAAGACAGTGATATTATAAATTGTATTGAATGAACAAAGGAATTAAATATTAAGAAGATTTTGCTCCCATCAAGTCATTACCATTGGAAATTTGAGAGAAAAAATCCGGTATTTAAGTAATAAAGCACTTCTAATGTAAAATGGCAGTTAATTTGATATCTCGACAGATTAATATTCAATTTCTTGTTTTCATTCTTATCAAAACTTCCGATACTTGATTCTCACTCCTTCCTCTTTTCGAGAAGCATATCTTTTCCAACGGAAAAATAATGAAAAATTTCTTAAGTGGTTTGAAATTAAATCAAGTAAGTAGATGGTGCCTTCCTATTCCAATGAAGATATATGCATACATTATTTCAAGTAATACTAATGCTCTAGTAATATGTCTGGTATTTGAATACTTGAAAATCATAAAAATACATTTTATGTATTAATTGATGTTTGGTCGCGACATTAAGTTAATTTCTACATTAAGTTAATTTAAATTCAAAGATAAAAAGTCGCGACCTCATAAGAGGAAATTCGTTTTTAAATTGCCGCATAATAATTTTCCTCATTCAAAATCATGTGAAAAAATTTTTGTTGCATTTCTTTTAGAAAAATGCATCACTTTGGATACTCAAGTGCTTTTTTGCTCCTTTAAATGCATCTTTTTTCAATTTCTTTTCTTCTTGTCTTTTTATTCTCTTTTTCAGAAGGGTCGTTCATAAATGATGCTTATTAACATGTGTCATTGTTTGTAAAAAGTATTCCACAATTGCAGACAATTTTTTCTACTCATTTCCTAACGTCTGCAACAGAAGAAAGACCCAAGGTATATCAATGCAAAACATCTAGCCTCAATTTTATGTGCAAAATTTATACGAACTTAATTATATAACTAGGAAAGTGAATAAGTGCTCAAAATTCAGTAAGCTGCTATGTCATTTGAAAATGAAACCTGAATGTTGGTTCAAAAGATTCTTACGAGACGATTTTTACGAGCCACAGATGATGAAGGCGAAACAATTTGAAAGGCAACAAATTAGGAATTTACAATAAGTTCAAGTGGATATATGAATTTCATTTGACATGTTTACTTAAAGGAATTCCCCTCACAGTAAATGATCCTTTTTAAAAAAAATATGTGAACTGATAAAAAGAAGTAAGGCACCGATTTTTGAGGTTTCAAATTGCATTGAGTGATGAGTGAGAGAAGAAAATAAAATTTTACTCAACAAAGATCTCTCCTTGTTCTCATTTATCATACAAAGAAATTGTATTTACAACCTTGAAAAAAAATACTTTAAAATCATTATTTTTTTCATTTCCATGGTTTAACGCTGATCAATGGCATCGAATATTCAATTTAAAAATAAATTCTTTTTAAAAAATTAATCATTGAGTTTGAGAATTGATTAGCATAAATACGCCCCTTTTGTTATCTTCAATATTGTTCACAAAATTTAAAAACTTAGCTATGCGCATACGTCAGAGATGAAAAATATGTGAGGTGTTTTTATAAACCATTAATTTAAAATACAATTTCTATTTATACCACACGTAATAAACATACATACGAAAGATACTTGAATGTGGAAGAAGAAAATTTCTCATTTTCTAATGATAAAAAAAAGTCTCGTGGAAATTCCAAATTTTCAGTTTTCTTTCGATTTTGTAGCACAAATCTATAAACCTCAATCTTTTGAATCAAATTAAGTTTCCAAAAAGTTTTTAAAACTTAAAATTGTCAATTTTGAAATTATTCTAAATTCATGAAAAAAATTTCAAATCAATTTTCCAACCCTTAACATCATCAAAAGTTAATAAAACACACTTTGCTCTCTAATAGCATTAATTTACGTAATGCACTCATAAAATGTTTTATATTAAATCATCACATATTTTTTTGCGCAAAAGTCAAAATTTCTCACAATTAAAGGCACTAGCACTGAAATGATGTTTATATTACTGACAGTACGCATAAAATAAAGTTATTTAATTTTGTGGATAATTGTGAGGGTTTATGTGTAGCTGTCAAGTGGCAAAATAATTCCAGAGGGTTACGCGAAGTGAATCACAAATGGAATGAGTGAGAAAAAAACAATAGGAAGGGATGGAATTGTGTGTGATGCTTTATTTTTATACCCACAAAAACCAGATGCACATAATTGTGTATTAAGAAATGAGAAAATTCTCGTTTTATGGAAATATTATTGGGGTTAATTATAAAGTTTGTTTCTACGTTTCAATTTACGTAATTAGATTGAATTTTCATTTAATACCACAAACATATAGTCATCATTTTAATAGTCAAAACTTACTTGTATTTCTTTCTTCATTAATGCTCGACGTTCTGCGTTGATTTTCCTCGATGATGGCACCAATTCAGCACGGAAACCGCTGTGAATTCATGAATATTCCATTAATTATTGTTAATTAAATTAAAATTATCCCTTACCTCTTAAAATTGCCATTATTTATGTTTGTTTCCTCGCCCTCGAGGACATTTATCAGATAACTAATGTATGATGTTGCCAATCGAAGTGTTTTAATCTAAATCGCATAACAATATGTCAATCTATATCCTTAACAAAGCATATATTTATAGAATTCGTACCTTTGATAACTTTGTGTCAGAAGGAACGTTTGGAATATGCTCTCTTAAACTAGAGTATGCAGAATTTATGCTTTGTGTTCTTCGTCTTTCCTTTTTATTTGCCGTCGTCCTTTTCCTCACAACTTTGACGGGAGCATGAATTTCGTTTGACGTAACTATGTTAGTTTTATTTGTGATCACATTATTATTATAATTAACATTAGTTGTGGTAATATTTGATCGATTTGGTGAATAGTAATCCTCCATCACATAATCTAGTGAATATCACAAAAACATTTAGGAATTGACTTTATTAATGAAACCTTTTCTTACCATTTTTATCAAGTTGAGAATACACTGGATAGTGGTAGGATGAAGTCGGTGATGATTGATTAATAGAATCGTCGGTTGATGAAAACTTTCTCATGTATTCATAATCCTCTTGACTTCCTGTATCATTAAGAAATTAAATTGTCATCACTTAACTAGATTTTGATGCTCAACTTGTTTATGTTTATAAGGATCATTTAGTGAACTAATTTCATTTAAATGACATGTTAAATTTGTTTACATGCTAAAAAGATGAGTACAAGGAAAAGAAAATTCTGTGCATTGAGTTGAGTTGTATCTTATTTCAAAATGATTTTTGAAATGGATACACAGAATATTGACACGTGTTCTTTACCAAATTGATGATTTGTTTATGCATTGATAGACTGTTTGGTATGTTTAGTGTATCTAGATAACCACACACACAGGAGGAAAATGAGACGACGAAGAAGAAACATAAAACATCATGCACATGAATACTTTCCTCTTCTTAAATTTTACTTCTCTCTATTTGTTCATTTTTCGGCAATTTTCTCTTTCTCTATTACGGTACTTTTCCTGGACATTGTTTATGTTTACTTCAAAAATCTTTTTTTTAATGATCTTCTTTAATATAAACATTTTGTGAAAATCTAGCTTTTCTTATGTACTGTTCAGTACATAAACTGAATTTTTTTCACTTCATTAAATTTTTCTTCTCAATTTCCGTTTTCTTTGAAAATACTTTTATGGCATTTTTCACAAATAGTTTTTCAGTTCCAGCTAATTAATTTCAAAGGATTACTGAAAATGAGAATCATGTTAAAAGGATTCAAAAGAGAAATAATAACATTAAAGAAGTTTTATTGCTGAAAACAACCGTTGGTCAATCTGGGATGTCAATACATCTGAATTAATTTATAAAACTCTTGAAAGTCGAAATCAATTTTTATAAGTCGAGTGTAAAATCCAGCAGAACCTTAATAAACTTGATGTCAAAAAATTTCAATTCTTTTCCTGATTTCAATCTAGTTCAATTAGAAACGAATGATTGGCAATAAATAAATTCACAAATATTGTAGGATTTAGCTCTTAAAAAATTCATTATCTTCATTTTGTTTATAATTTCAAAATAAAAAAAAAATAAGATTTTTAATTTGAACAGAAATATCACTTAAATTGAGGTCTTTAATTGGTTGCCTTATAAATTTCAAAAAAGACTCATTCTTAATGATTACATTCTATGACAAATGAGTAAGTGTGATTTTCATAAAGAATTAACGTTCTTGGTTCAAAACTCGAATCCAATTAAAATATATTAATTTAATTACCTGGATATACTCCATTTGAGTAATAAGTTCCATTTGTTTCGTAATAATCTTCATGGAGAAAATCATTATCTGAATCGAAACTTGACATTTTATTCGCGACTTTTAACATTCAGATAATTTTTAAGTTTTTCGTTTTTCAATTTTAATTCGGATTCAAATATTCGTAATTTAATTTGAGTTACTAATGAGCAGCATGTATTGGACAATAATTTTGCAATAACACAATAATTTTTTTCAATTTCTTAATTCACAGTTTTATTCTATTTTAAAAATCACAAGTTCAATTCCAATAATTCTTTTAGAAATTCAGCTATTTTCTGTTAAAAATTCAAGTGTTTACCACTTGACTCACTAATTTTGACTGACTCTATCCGTAAATTTACATCTCTAAAAATTGTGTACACATGCTGCGTTGTAAAATTTTTGGGCGTAGACAATTTTCTTCTTCAATTGACTTGCATCGCCATTTTTCAATCCGACCAATAGAAACAAAGTCAAGTTGTTAATAAAATCAAGTACACTTGAGCATTGATATAATTTTGATGCTGATACATGTAAGTTCCAAAATTATTAACTAAAGAATCACTTACTTACTTCCTCAGCTGAGATACATTGTAGTACATATAAAATGCTTGAAACTGTGTCTATCCATCGAATATTACTGAAATAATGAAAGACCTTAAAGGAATCAATAACAAATAGTCTGTTTTACTCAAATCTTTATTTAATGTTTCTGTAATTCACCATTATAACGGATGTTTCGTATGATAAATACATTTAATCTTCACTTTTATGAATTTGTTATCATTTTTGAGAACAGGAAAGTAAAATATTTCACATAGGTAGGTTCATGTAAACTTATTAAATTTATTTTAAAATAATAACAATTTTGAGATAAGAAAGAAGAATTTTTTTTTATTTTTTTTTTATATCCTCAATAGTCAGTAATAAAATACATAATTCGATATTTGTAAGTTTCTTTAGTGACCAATTCAATAAAAACCAACTAAAATTTCCGACATTTATCGACATTTTTGACAAAATTGAATCTTATATGCTCATTTTGCGGAATGTTTTTCTTAAATTACAGAAAAGATTTCATATCATTCATTAAATGGTGAGAAAAATTGTATTTCTTGATGCTTGGTAATTATTAATAGTTATACTTTTAATGCTTTTTGAAAGGACATGGAGGATGAAAGAAAAAAATTACGTCATCAGAAACGTAGCCTTTTTGAAGCTACAAACTTAGAAGGGATTTGAATAATATTTATAAAAGATTTACCAAAGCAATTTAGCAACAAACGATGATTTTTTTTTTCTTTTTCGTACTCTTAAAGTAATTTACTTCTTCAATAAGAAATGAGAAATTTGTTAAGAAGTTTTCATATCTTAAATTTCGACGTTCACAATATTATTACTTCTCTTCCTTGCACAATCTTCAAAACTGTGTCTCGCAACATACTTAATTCTTTATCGCACAGTTCCGATAAATTTGGTTGAAACATAATCTTTTGTGAGTGCAAACGCTTAATTGACCCAAAAGTTTGGAAGTCACAGCTCTTTAAAAATAGATAAAATTATAAATACTCAAATTTATTAGATTCTACCTAAAACTTATTTGATTGAAATTGAAATTTTACTAATTTAGAAAAATTCGTATCATATTTTAGTAGCTACTCAATATTGCAAGGAAAAAAGATTTGGAAGTTAATTTTATAACTCTCAATTAGTCACAAAAGACTGCAATAACGATTTAAACGTCTCTGCAAATTTCTCATTTCCTGTCCTCAACGCAGAATTTTTATATTTTGATATTTCTTCAAACAAGAAATAAATGCATTTTAAAGCCAATTTTCAATCCATTCTGCTTCCCCAAATTAAGAAATATATCTCTTTATACATTGTTAAGCGTCCTTAATTTTTTTCAAACTTTTGTTTAATGAAAGGTTATACAAAAATCGTACAAAGAACTTTTCATCTTTATATACCATCATCATCAGTTTTCCTTTAATAATTTTACAAAATGTGATAGAGAAATCTCTGTGTTAATACAGTTGAAAATGAAAAATAATAAAAACCAAAAATTATAGGAGTAAATATAGAATTTAATGCATACATATAGATAAGAGGATTTTTGATAGGACAGTACAATTGATTTTTATCCTTCTTTGTTGCCACTTAATACAAATAGAATAATCATAATAATATACTATTATATGCAATTTTTTTCTCATTTTTTTTTTAATAATTATAAGAATAATAAACTTCTTTACCACTTTTTTTTATATTCATCAAAATATAAAAGCTTGTGATAATAATAATTTTTTTATGAAATAATATTTTTACTTCCACTTTTAGTATTAATATTATTATTATTTATCATGCACGAGTCCAAGAAAAAAATCTACTTAATTAAATTTCCTTCCTTGGATACATTTCCCTCTTTCTTTTTAAATTTCTTTTTGTTCTATGAAGTAATAAAAAAGACAATAGAATTTTTTTTCTGACTGCCATCGATCTAAAAAATAAAGAAAGAATAAATAGATTATTTTTCAACTGAAAAAGTTATGAATGAATAATATTTTCACACATTACACAGCAAAAGATGCTGATAGAGACAATAATGTAAGCTTTACAATGTTTTTTACTAAATGTTAAACACATTTGTGGAGATAAAATCATTCATGCCGAATAAGTCATGATAGTTTATGTCAGGCTTGTAGCCAGGGTAGAATTTGACACACAAATTTTTTCCTTATGTCAACAGAAATTTTATTTTTTTGAGATTTTTTATGAAAAAATTATAAAATTCCTCCTCTCATCCCTTCGAATTTCTGGCTATGCCTCTGATAATTACACAGATGAAAAAATAATATAAATTGAGGAATTATTAAGATCAGTGTGAACTTTGTATTATTGAGTAAGTTCTTATTATTTTTAAAATTTTATATCTCTCATAAACCTTTTTAGCTGTGCATTAAAAATAAAATAATAAGTCACCTTCAGTGCCAGAACATCACTTGCTGCAACAGTTCCCTGATGTTCTATTCGTTTCGTTACCGCTCGGACGTATATTTTGTTGTGGCCCAGTTCCCTCATTCTTGGGTAGTTTTTTCGCTAATAAAGGAAATTTTTAAATCATTGTTGACATGACAAAATCAATAAAGATTTCATTGTACTATCAATTTGCACTTATTATTCATTTAGATGTCTAACAAAGTGCTCGATGATATGTAACGTTAATTACCTATTGCTAAAAATATCTCATTCACATTAACTGCTGTCTTTGCAGATGTTTCCATGAAAAGTAAACCGTTTTCGTCAGCGTATTGTTTTGCTTCCTCATAGTCAACTGCTCGACTTGCTGCTAAATCAGCCTTGTTGCCGGCCAAAGCAATAACAATATTGGGCGATGCCTACAAAAGATAATGATCGATAGAAATTTAATGATGACAAAAGTAAAAATGACATGTAATATTATACCTGTCTTTGGAGTTCCTTAACCCACGTCTGAGCACGAACAAAACTGTCCTGGTTTTGTATGTCATAAACTACAATAGCAGCCTGCGCTCCACGATAGTACATTGGTGCTAAACTGTGATATCTGTTGAACAAGCAATTATATTAGATATAATTGACATTATTTACGAATGATTAATTTACCTCTCTTGTCCCGCAGTATCCTTTTAGTTTCCAATCAAAATGTTTCGTGAAAATAAGCAAAAACAAAAAAAAAATTATCTCAACATTTCAACAAAAACAAGATGTTAATTACAAAGTGTTTGATATTAATGAAGAAATATGTGCGATAAGAAAATCTAATCTAAAGTATATCTGTTCGTTTGCATGTATATGACTCACCCATATTTCAAACTTGACAGCTGTTTCTTCAATATGCACAGTTTGAGTTAAAAATGCGGCGCCAATAGTACTCTCTTGATATTCATGAAATTGACCCTTCACAAACCTTAGCACTAGTGATGATTTTCCGACTGCCGATTCACCCAAAAGCACCAATTTAAATTGGCAAATTTTATTTTGTGTTGCTCCATTTGGACGTTGGATTCCACCACCGCGTTGATTATTTGCCATTTTTAATTTCTTTTTTTTTTCTCTTAAAAATTGTTAAGTTTTCCAAAGGTTCTGATAAAGTTGTTTGTGACGAAATCAAAATGAAATAAACTGAAGAGGAAATGAAATATCTAATATAAGGATCAAATCACCTAAAATGAGATGTAATAGAATCACGTAAGTATGCAATATTTTATAATTCTACGTAGTTCAATGTAATATATTATAAATCATGCTTATTCAACAATTCCCAGACACATTGGTCTCTTGCTCCTATTATCAATAATTCCAATTCAATCGGTTCATGAAAAAAAAAGCCATATTAAACTGATAAATAAATTGAATTAAGCATTTTAACGATAAGTTCAGAAGTTCAAAATTAGTATTTTCATTACTGGCTACAGATATTATATTCTTTGCATCTATCATAGCTAAGATGTTCCTTGTATAACCAGCATTACCAAATGAAATACTTGAGAAATGTACAGAGAACACTTTCAAGGGGAATAAAACTTTATCCTATAATACATGTTAAGATTAATCCACTTTAATTAGAATAGTGACCTTGACAATCACCGCACTTAAATTATATTTTCCATTATTTTTCAAATCATCAATCACATGTTTTTTGTTGTTGTACGAAAATATATTGAATTTTCCATGTCTCTCTATTGCCTTTACCTTGAAAACTTAGAAGTTTCACATAATTTTGCACATAACATTGAATACAATGACATGTAGAGAAGAATAATTAGCTACATTTATGACGTCTTAAAATGGGGTGTAATTGAATTAAATTAATGGTTGTTGTTTTTTTATAAAATTCGAGAACAGGAATAAAGAAGAAATGATGAGATTTTCGGTAAATAATATTTGCTCCACAGTACTTTATGTCGTCATCATTTCAACATTTTCATTTTTGTAAATGACTAATCATCAGTTTCAGAGAACAGTAAGCTTTCGTCATAAAACATAAGTTAATTATTTCCATTATTATCTAAAAGCTTTTATCAACTCTAATTGATAATCGTCAGAATTGCCTTCATAATAAAGAAAATTCATCTCGTCAAAATGCAAATATTTACACAAGTTTTATTCTCTATGATAAACTAGTCATTCTTTTTAAAGAGTTTTAATTTTCGCACAAAAAAAAGGAAATAACAGCAGGATAGAATAAAAATCATTTTTGAGTACGACGTAGATCAAAGAACAATTAGTATGTCTTGGTTATGGACATTCTAAAATCTGCATTTAATAATGTAAAACGCACTTTTAAATGTAATCAGAAGGTTCAAGTAGGAAGATGTTCTAGATTTAAGATTTTTTTCATCGAGACAATGAGAATATCACAAAGAAATTAAGTCTTTCATTGGTCGCCTGACAAAATAACACGACACTAGTCAGTTTCGTTTTTAGAAAACACTAGATTTCATCGTATCTCAATGAGTAATTTAATAAAAGTTGACTAAGATAGGAACACAATTAAATACAATAAGGAAAACAAAGAAAGCACTTTCTTATCTCAAATTTAACGCCAAGCGACCGATTTCTTTTTCTTGATTTTTTTTTACACATTTCAATTCAAATTTTCACCTTCAATTTTGATTTTCTTGGACGAACTTTTATATTCTTACGTTTATACTATCCTATATTGTAAGGTAATCAGCACAAATTGATTTAAAATCCAATAGATTATCTAAAAATGTCGATAAGAATCAACTCTAATTTTTTTATGAAGAAAACTCAGTCCACTATTACTATCTCTTTTCATCAAGGGGACTGTCGACAAAAAAACAACAAAGTATTCGAATTTATAAAATCCGTTAATATTTACTTTACACTTTTAAAGTTTTCTATTACCTTCTATTCACTGTTTGTAATTATTTTTAATATTTTACTGTTGTTGAATATTATTAAAATGGCAGGTAGTTAAAGTTTCGCTGATTGCCTTATAAAAATAATAATAAATTTCAAAACAAACAATCCCCTGATGAAATTAGAGAGGTTGCAATTTAGTTGAACTGTCCAAATCTTACGGCAAAATTTTCCACGGTTTTTAATAATTTTTCGTCAATAGAATCTATTCTTTCTTATTATATCAGTTACTTCTCATCTTAATCTGCTCAGTACTGTGCATCTGTGATAAAAGATGGTAAGTTGGAACGGTTTAAATAGTGAAAATTCAACTTTATTTACCGCACCCATAATTCATTAATTTCCTTATCATACTCAATTGTATAAACATTACTTTCATTCCATTTATCCTTTACATTATCTCATTTGTCGTTTCTATTGTATATATATGCGTTCGTGACGCATCGAAGAAAACTTAATTTTCTATTCTTCAATACAATTTCATTCACTCATGAGTCATCATTATAGGATGAAAAGTTACCTACCAAAAAAAATAGAGATACAGTTATTTGTCAAAATATATGGATCCAATTAATAGTATATTTCATTATCATTGCAGAGTGACTTACAAATGGATTGTGCTTTAGATCTTATGAGGCGATTGCCTCCACAACAAATAGAAAAGAACCTAATTGACTTGATTGATTTAGCACCAGCATTATGCGAGGATTTGCTCACTTCTGTGGATCAACCACTAAAAATTGCCAAGGATAGAGAAACTGGAAAAGACTATTTATTATGTGATTATAATCGAGATGGTGATTCATACAGGTAATTGTTTATATATAATGTATAAAAATTTTTTTAAGGCTGCAATCTAACAATTGTATATCCATACATATAGGTCGCCTTGGTCAAATACTTACGATCCACCTCTTGAAGATGGCTCAATGCCATCCGAGAGACTAAGAAAGTTAGAAATTGAAGCAAATCATGCATTCGATCAATACCGTGAAATGTATTATGAAGGTGGCGTTTCGTCTGCTTATTTATGGGATCTTGATCATGGATTTGCTGGTGTTATATTAATCAAAAAGGCTGGCGATGGAAACAAGAAGATTAAAGGATGTTGGGATTCAATTCATGTTGTAGAAGTTCAAGAAAAGAGTTCTGGACGAACGGCACATTACAAGCTCACATCAACTGCAATGCTTTGGCTGCAAACAAATAAACAAGCTTCTGGAACAATGAACTTGGGTGGAAGTTTGACTCGACAGGTTTGTGTGCATCTATGTATTGCTGCGCTATCTTTGAGTAATGAAAATCTTAATCTTTTAGATCGAACAAGACAGTCCTGTAAGTGAGACATCTCCACATATCGCAAATATTGGTCGCATGATTGAAGACATGGAGAATAAAATTCGAAACACTCTCAATGAGATATACTTTGGGAAGACAAAAGATGTCGTAAATGGTCTGCGCTCTGTTGAAATTCTTGCTGACCAGAAACAGAAAGCAGCGATGAAACAAGATTTAGCAAATGCAATTATGCGACGAAATGTAAAAGCTGAGTGAATACATGCAAACTATTGAATGGACATCCATTCGTGCTTTTTTATCCAGTATGATAATGAACAATTCATTGAATCGATTATTTTCTTTAATATTATTTGTATTTTTTTAAAAATATGAAAAGAGGAAGCAAAAGTCTCGCAGTCATTTTAACCATGTTGCGTTTAATTCATCTATAAAGCACACATTTTTTAAGACAACATGTTAATCAAATTTAAAGTAATTGCAAAGATTAAGAATTAAGCGCAAAGTTATACATGATGGGGTAAAATCGCGTCTATACATAACATTAATTTAGTTCTATACGCATTTTATTTTATTATCTAATAAATTCATAATTTTTTTGTAGCATTATATATTTTATCATTATCATTAACTAGAAGATGCAAATTTTGAATAAATTTAAAATGTTCTAATAATAGACAAACAGTCCATTGACTTTTCCTACATATTAAGTAATCTGTTTACTTTCAAGCCAGACAGACATTGCATTTATATTGCAGAATGATAGGTCAGGAAAATAATTCACGTGACCTTGTGAATTGCTTTATCAAGGATGATGACATGATTATTTTAGAAATGAATTTGATGAACTGATTTTTTTTTTGTCACATTCCTAAATTTCTTTTCGCGAAATCAAAAATATATGTGTGAACAACAAGCAAACAGCACATTACGCAAAGTTTCTAATTTTCAATACTATTGCGTATATTTTTAACATCATACGATCAAACTTATCTTCTTTTAAGCATGTACACACACTCAAAAAATTCCTAAAATTGTCTGAAAATCAGATAATTAGCTTGCAAATTTTAATTGACGCTTAACAAGAACTATTACCCATTTAATAGTATTAATTAAACTCAAAAAAGCAATAACACAAAGAGATGATTATTTGAAGCAAAGAGTAAGTTAAAAAATGTGACGCCACTGACCAAAATTATAAACATTGATTTTTTTTTTTAAGTTTCACAGTTAAGTTTCTTGATTAAAATACAAGGAACCGTGCAAGACACATTAGTTAAAATAGAGTAAAATTGGATAAATTTATGAGATAAATTTAGATATTATCAAGGAATAGGATTTATCAAAATTTGGATATAAAATTTCACTTCTGATCTAATTTCTTGCTTACTGTTGTTCACTGAGAAAAATCACATGTATATTTTTCATTTGGATGTGAGTAATATTAATTATTGTACTGTATTAGCAAATAAAATTAACATTTTAATGTAAAATACCTTTTAGATCACTCAAAACAGATGAAAGTAAGACTCAACATTCGGAGTATTTTGGGAAACTTAATGAAAAAGACAAATTAATTATTGGTTTTACGTGCAAAAGGTTATTAGAACTAGACAGCATAAATATACACCGCATTAAGCAAAAGGTTCAAAGTGTACAACGATAAAAAATTTAACAAAATTGATTTGATTCTGCTGCGTGTTAAAAAGAAATCAAAAAATGACAAAAGTATTTTATATGGACTTCACGGACGAGCAGAGAGTAAAATCTACAATTTTTTATATGACAGTATCTTTTATCATATATTTGGGAGTTTATAAAATTCTTCGAAAGAAAGTAAATGTTTCTCCAGAATATGAGATCAGACTATTAACATTTTTTCATGGACTCTTCTGCAGCATATGTGCGCTACACTATGTCATGCTTCCTGCACTCGGCTATTATGAAGGTAATTTCTCAAAAGTAATTATACATGGCATACGCAACAAAGAAAATTGCCACATTTAGTGATAAGATAATATGTGTGTAAGCCTACTTACCAGAGAGAAAGGTGTTACACAGTCTTTCGATACATACAAATCAATCACATCAAATTCTTGCTTATGACATTTCTTATTAGATGTCGCTAGTAGTCATTCATTATAAAGTATTTCTTTTTCTTTTTACAGTTAAATCAATTCCATTTCGGCTAATACTGTCAAATAGCTTTGGATACTTCTTACTGGATTTGTTGTGGTGCTTTAAGCATGGAGAGACAGGAGCAATGAAATTTCATCACATAGTGACAGTTACAGGATTAATTTACTTCTCATTTAAATTGACACAGCACTATTATATTCTTTTTGCTCTTGGAATAACGGAAGTCACAAATCCTTTACTTCAAATCAGATGGTACTTAAAATTTCATGAAATGCGCGATAGCCTTGCGTTCAAAATCATAGAAAGTGTCTTCATTATTGCTTTCTTTTACATACGAGTATTTGTATGTACATACTATACGTATTTATCGTGGACAGAGCCGAAATATAATTTCACGGGTGATGACTTGTTTTTCATCACATTAGGATTGCTTGTCGGTTACAGCCTTTCATATCAAATGTTTGGATATATAATGTATCAAGTGAAAAAGTCTAAAAATAGTGAGAAAGTAGAGAAATATGAGTAGGTGTTTAGAATTTGTAAGAGAAGAGCTTAAAGCTTGCAGCATGAAACAAATAAAATAAATTGTTAATACTTATTAGTCAATATGATCGCAGCTTTAAAAAAATGCTTAAATTATTCTTATTTTTTGTGTGTTTTATAATAAAACATTGGTTGCTGAAATATTTAATTAAAACAATACTTGCTAATTAGATAAATCCAAATCTTTTACATTTTTATTATACGCTTTTCAGAAGAGCCATCTCATAAAACCAATGCCGTCTCTACTGAACTAATATCTAACTCCTAAAATAGTTTAAAAGCTTATCTTATACTTTTTAATGCTTTTTCAATGTTTCTATAAACATTTGACGGTATGATATCTAGTAATAGTTTTTGATATTGAGAGTGTATCGAAAGCTGCTTGAAGAGTTCTTTGGTATGATTCCTCGTTTCTAAACTTCCTTCCATTAACAAATTTGCTCCTGTCAATATTAATCGATCACGTATTTCTTTATGCATATTAAATACTTTATCACAGCCAATCCGGAATACGAGTTCATTCAATAATTTTGCAGTTGTGCATCGAACAGCAGCATTTTGATGTGACGCTCCACGATATGATAATATTAATATGCATTTACTGGGGTGTAATGCATCACACATAGATTCGAGAGCTGAAAGTTATATAATAATAATTTACTATCAATTAATGCTAATTTATTAATTTTACCTCTTGTTGCATCAGCTCTTAAGAATTTGTTAGTGTCGGCAGTACGATTTAAAAGGGACGCAGCTAATTCCTCAGCATCAGCATCCAAAACTTTTGCATGTGTTATAAAAAATTCTCCAGCAGCTGAACAACCTGCACGTGACACTTGAGATCTTAGATTTTTTACTTGCTTTCCAATTGCAAGCGTAAACAAGTGAATTTGTGAATCGACATATTCTGGATGGTGTCTTATAAGTCGAACAAAATTCTTTAATCCTTCCATTACATCCTCCCAATTTGAGCTCTCTAATTGATGCATTGTTGTGTTCATTGCGTCTTTCGGTCTATCAAATCTTCTTAATGATGGTGGGAATAGTGCATTTGATTTTGGTGCCCTAATAACGACCGATGGCATTTGATTTAAATTCGGCATTGGATTTTTTACTGGTGTAGATTTATGACTTCGTTTTAACACAGCAGGACGGTTCGCTTTGATTGGAGTCCTATGTGATTTTATAAAAACTTCACGTGGTAATGGTGATGGAGTTACTTCTGCATATTCACTATCCTGCTCAGCTGCAGTTTCTTCCTCCTCAACCTCGTATTCCTCGTTGATATTTTCTCGACTAATCGTCATAGTTGAATCAGAACGAATCATGACCATTGGGTCAATTATGCTTCTTTCATCTTCCTCAATTTCTGTAGGAATATTTTCTGAAATTTCCTCTGTTTCTTCCTCGTGAATTTCCATCGGCATTTCAATGATTGGATCATAAGGCGAGCTAGACAATTGATCATCTGTAATTACATCATCTGGTGTAGGCGTTACGATTCGTTGGAAAGGACTTTCTGGTTTTAAAACAGATTTTGCAGTTGCTGGACGAGCTTTTTGTGGTGATGCATTTATTTCAAGTGTTTGTCCTGGTTTGATTATGTGACGTTCATAACCTCCATCAACCTCAGCTTCGCCTGGCTCATAAATAAATGTCTTATTTGAATTTGCCGATGCTGGTCGCGTAGAATTTTTGTGTGACGGTGTATTTGCTATTGATTTCGTTTTTTGCATTTCTTCCATTTCTTTTTTAACTCCTTGAATGGCAGATTGTATTTGTGCTATTTCATTGCGTACATTTTCAATAACAGATGAGGTAGAACCTTTTGATAAATGCAAAGGTGAGTTTTCAACATCCGACAAAATGTGACTGTTTGTCTTTCCACTTGTCCTTCTTACTTGTTCTTCTACATAATTATCTACCAAATCTTTGTTATTAATAATATCATCTGACTTTTTAGATTTAGCACTGGGTTGAGTCTTAATAACATTTTGTTCGCTGGTCGCATCATCACTTTCGACCAAGCCTATAGCTAATGTTATTGGTTGTATCGTCAATTCATTTCCATTAGGTTTTGCACTGAAAGGAAGGGAAATAAAACAAAAATATATTAAATTAATTATGATTAATGATCTATAGTCAAAGAATGGATTCCAACAAAATTTGCATTAATTTTACATTTATAAGGCTTTCATTATGAAAAATCTTCTTCCTTCCATCATGAAAAAGTGAACATACTCATCAATGAGAAAATGTCTAAATATTTAATTGAATCGATTCGTTTGTAAAAGAAAATCAATAAAGTTAATTTTCATGAACAAATTTGAGTTATTTAATATGTAAAGTTATTACTACAGTTAATATCAATTCTCAAAAGAGCGATTATTGTCTCCCATTTGTTTATAAAGCAAGTGTCCGAGACATTTTTATAGCTTTTTTTTTATCAACCCTTTATGCGAGTTTTCCTTTCAAAGTAATTATACACATTTATCGTAGTCACTACTTGATTTATGTAGATTACCATGTTGGCGGTGAGAATATGTATAGCAAATAATAAAAAAGTAATAATAAAAAGTTATTTCATTAAGCACGAATGTCTTCAGTAGCTGAAACACATTTTAGAGGTCATCTCTATCAAAAGATCAGTAAACTTCCATTTAATATTTCACATTGCAACTCACTTTTCATTTAAATCAATTGTCGAACGAGTAAATTCAATTTGATCAATTGTTAAAACTGTATCATCGGAATTCCTTTCAAGAATATCTTTGTTAGCATCACCGTTACATTTTGCTGTATCAACACGCTTTCTACGTCGTGTAATGCAAAAGCAACAAACACGAAAAATTAATGGATTATCAATTATAAACTTTTCGAATAGATTAGTCGTTTGTTTTGCTTTTAATGGCGATGGTATGGACTTTACATTATTACTAAAACATGATGGCATTATATACATTTTTGTAACACAATTTTTTTTTTTTTATTTCAATATCACTCGCACAACTTTAACAAATAAAATCATAACAGTTAAACATTAGGAGAGAAAAAGTGGATCAAAACTATGGGTCGGTCAGTTTTATGATTATACGAATGGCCTATATTTCCTATTACACTTTATTTTCCCGCTGAATATTCACCAACATATGTTCGATAAATGGCCTGGTTTGAAACTGAATGAAAGAAAAATTGTGTTTGTTGTGTCCACTCGCGAGCGATTTTCCATTTTCGCTTCATTATACACTTAGTTCATTTTTTTTCTTCTCCCTTTACCTTTCATTTTGAATTGAATTTTCTCTAGCACACGCTCGCTCAACATTCTCTCTTGCTCAAAAAACTGTTCATTCAGGCAATAAATAGAGTGAGTTGACCACATAAATGTAGTTGACTTTAAAATCCTTTGCAAAGTTAACGAGAACGATAAAACATTAAATGCGTACATGCTTAATGTATTTCTTTATAATGTGTATATAAAAATATTTATTTTAATTTAATACCTTGATATTGTTTTGTGCATGATAAATTTAAATTAATAATTTTTTTACCATGCAGGATATAAAAATTATCCGCTCTCAATAAAAAACAATTCGTTTCGTGTAGAAGTGTAACATTCGCTATCTAATCAGGCACTATTGTAATGACGTTGGAATAAAAAGAATCTTGTGAAAGTATAGAATATAGACAATATCTTTTAAGTATTTTATTGAATATTCACTGTCGCGTTCTGAATTTTTGAACTTTCAAAGAGAACTTTCCTAACAAAAGTGATGATTTCCTATTCATAATCTATTCATCGTTGTAAACCATATCTTGGACTTAGTATCCTAGCCAAATATTCAGTTTATTAATTTAAATTTTTATGAAATGTAGCGCGACTAGATTAATTTATGAATGTTTGCATAGAAATTTTAAACGCTTTTAACCAAGCCTTTTTATAACATTATTGATATCTTTAACCCCTTCATATTTTTAATTTTTCCCAGAAGCTTGTTAATCCGTGAGTTTTACACAATTAAATGTTTTAAGGATTTTATGGTCTGAATATATCTTATTAAAACTTAATGCTGCATTAAAGAATTTCAAAAATTCAAAATATACTTGCTTTTTCAATAAGCTTTAAAAATTCTCTTCGCATTTTCAAATAACGCAAAATTCATTCTATCGAAACCACCTATTTAAAGTACAACATGGTGTTACTGTTATGAAGAAAAAAAACGACTTTTGTTTACGTGCTACCTACGGTGAATAAATTGCTTTGAAGTGATTATAAAAGAAAAACTGAAAGCGTGTTATTTTTATTGTTATTTTCATGATTTCACAAAAATTTTCCGACGAATCAAGTTTCTTTTTACTTCTAATTTTCATTTCATTCAAAATAGCAAATAATTTTTACTTTTTTATAAGTTCTTATGACGAAAAAACTTTTTGATGAGAAATATAATTTTTTCTTCAAAAATAACAAAGCAAGTAGGTTCTTACGTTAATTTATGCATAATAATCCTCGAGTCATTAGCAGCGGAAAATTCTTTTCTTGTTAATTTCTGTTCTTATTTCAGACAAAAAAAAACTTTTTTTGACCAATTGAAAATTTCGGTAAATGAAAATAGAAGGATTGAACATGAACATTTCTAACCAACTAGCTTCATTCCACAAAAATTATGCCATTAAGAATTTGTTTTTGTTAAAGCAAATATTACTAGAAATTAAAAGCTTGAAAAGGGATTCGCTCACTTAAAATGTGCATCAAAATTAATAATAATATATCTCATTGTTGCATCATTTTCTTACACTTTTAAAATATAAAAATAATACATTCCATCAAATTGTAGTAGTTATAAACTTGATTTAATTGACAAGACCAGACAAACTTATGGGAAATTTCTAATTTAAATTATTTACTTTTTAAACGTGCCAATTTGTGTCAATGAGTATGACTTAAAAAATTCAAATGAACTTAAAATGTGAGAAAAGTGTTTTCAAACTTAAATACTTTTCAATTAAAATATTGCATAAAAAACTTTAAAATAAAAATTAAAAATTTAACAAACATGATGTAACATTTTAAAAGTACTTCGAGATAATAGCTCCTATTTTATTATGAACATACGCTTTTTTTTGATAATTAAGTATTATTATGAGTACACTTCAATCTTTTAACTAATTAATGTGAAATATTACAAATTCATTTTTGTTTTAATCATGTATGGGGCTGTTCACTTATTACGTAACGCGAAAAAATGACTTTTTAGACCCCCACCTCGTAACAAAATTTGTATGAAAAAAAAATTTCCTTGTTTGAACCGTAACAAAATCTTAGACCCCCCTCCCCCCCTAAAAGCGTTACGTAATAAGTGAATGCCCCTATGTATCTTGTATTCATTTGTATCAAAAAGCTACATTCTACCAAAATAATGTATAGGAAGATTTTGCATGGTCATGAATACACTCAAATTCTCTTAAACAATCGATTCAATTATTAATTTTCACTTCCATATTTTCATACATCAAAAATCGATTGACATCGGACGAAATGCTACTCACCTACTTTTGCGTGGGCTTTCAATATTGTCAGAACGTTTCAGTTTCTGTTTTCTTACCGGCGAAGAAGAAGATGAAGAAGGTTCATTAAAAGTTGAAGGATGGGTTCTTGGTCGATGATCTACATGGCTTATCTCAGTTTGAGGAGATCCTTAAAATTTTAAAATTATGTTAATCAGTATTTTGAAATTATACTATATATTTTTATTAATCATACCGTTAGTATCGACATATATTCCGTCAGAAGTATGAGAGTGCTTCTTCGTTTTAAAATTAGGTGCAAAACTGTAAGGGTTTTTGTTGTTGTTTGTAGTACTTCTAGAACTTGTTTCCACATTTGGAAGTCTAAAAATAAATATTAATTTATAATGCAAAGCAATTATTTTAATTATCAATATATGTACTTGGTAGAAGCAACTGGTTGTTTATTGTTTTGTCCCATTTTGACAGTAACTGTAGGCTGAGCATTATCTGACAACTGACGAATTGGCTGTTTTTCAGAAAGCTCTGGAAATGACCTTGAATGTAGTTTACCATGAAAACGACCTGAAATAAAGTTTAATACATATTTAACACAATTGCATGTTAAGTGTGATATATTTGATAACTTGGCTGGCTTCTCTACAGATTATTGATAGACATTTTTCTATGCGCGTAAAAATTGAGTTTAAGGCTTTCATTATAATAAATTAAAAAAACTAACCTGTAGATTCAAGAGGTTTTTGAATGCCTTGAAAAGCAGTTCCTGCTACATAACCATGGTCGTCGTCCTGGAAGTACAGTAAAATATATTATTATTTAAAAGTAAGTCATTTGAATAAAAAAGAAATATACGATTAAAATAATTAAGGCAATTCGATCAAAATTTGCAATTACGATGATTGATTCTCTCATATTACGATAACATTTAACTTGTGGGATTTCCACAATTTCGTCATTTGAAAAAGCTTTAGATTTCCAATCACGTTGCATTTTCCATTAAAATGGAAATTACTAGCAGGGTTTAACATGCAAATTCTTTTGGAAAGCAAATGGTCAGTTGTTGTTGAAAATCCTTGATTCTTTTTTTGTATCATAAATTTTCAAATAAATTGCTTAAGAAATATGAATGCTTTGCCTCTAAAATTTCCATTCATGGTCAGCTTATGTTCATTTAGGTCGTTTTATGTACTTCCGGATAACCACAGTTTTTTAAATTATATGAAATACACATTTATTATTTTCGAACTGTATTTATGGGAAATGTATTGTTTTTTGTTCAGATTTTTTAAGAATGCGTGCCACATCCATTTCGTTTAAACTTTCAAACACATGCTGAGTGAATCTCAGCTAACTCGTCAAGCTTTAAACTTTCAAATGTATGCTGAGCCAAGCTTAGTCTTTCGACGAAACTTTCGATTGAACACATTGGGTTTCTACTCTAAACACTAGTTTTAATTAATATTCATTGCCAGAACAAATGAGCTATGTTAAAATTTATATCGATGAAATTTCATGAAAAATCTATTCGAAAATAAACCAATTTTTAAAATTGCACATGACTAGTTAAATGAAATGTACTTTAATCGATGACACAAACTATACAAGCAATTCATAACAACTTCATTTCGTATAGCAACGAATCTATCTCTATTAATAATCAGCATATATGACTATTGACTATCCACTTATTAGTAATATAATACAATTCGTTCATTCATTCATTTAATCCTGCGTAGTTACGTGTATGAGTAAAATGTTTGTCTCCAATTGAGTTGAATGAACACACGAATACGGTTTGTTTACTATCTATTCTATCATAAGCATTGCATTTTAACACTCACATGCGACGTTTTGATTTAGTTTTCTTAGAAAAGTATAAAAATTTTGAATTATAAAACTTGTATAAATATTAGAAAATTTTTAAACAAATTTACATTTCTTTTGCATGAGTTTTAATAATCCCTGTCAACAGTTAATAGTACATGACAGGCTTTTTAATAAATTATTAAAAATTTCTTTTTCCGATTCAAAAACAAATTACCTGGCTGCACAATTTATAATCTTTTTAATAAATCTTCTTTCTCATAGAATCGCATGACCTCAAACAAGGCTAATATTTTTTTTTTTATATTGACATAAAGTGCATATTGTAACAAAAAAAGGATATGCAGCGACTTACACAATAAAATTTATGTTGATGTACATTTACTAGCGACGTATTTGCAATCTTTCATCGTCATTTACATACATATGATTTGATATAATTTTACTTACAGAGCTAGATCCACCTCCTCGAACAGGAATTCTTGACCATGGACTGGATTTTGTAGAATTATTTGCTCCTCCAACTGCATATCGATTTAAACCATCAACAATCCTAGTCAGACAGGTTAACAAATTAAATATAATGAAATTTTATTGATTTTGTATATAGTCAAATGAATGGAGATACAAACTTACTATGCCTGACACACAAACACTGAGTATCAACATAGGAGCAACAATAATAATAAAGGGAAAATATGTGAAAACATGTGAGGATAATTGAACTACAATGCTCTATCAAAATCATTTTAACTCGTGGGTTTGTGAAAATAAAATCATTTCAGGTTTGCTCGTTTGTTTTTAATGCTATAAAATATTTATAATGTGTACACTCATTGACTTAACTACAATTTCTTTGCTGTACAAGTTCTAATTACTAACCTTCGATCTTCAAATCCTCCTCTCCCCAATAGTTCCTGATGACCATGAAGTCCATTCGATTGTAATTTGATGGATCGGTTTTTTACCGATGTAGGAGAAACTGATCCAGAACCACTACAAATCCATTCAACGTCTGAACCAAACATAATTGTGCCACCAGTATTTGTTGCTGATGGAATCCTTAATGCATATACCACATCTCCATCTGCACTTATTAATGGTAATTGTTTTCTAGCCAATCTTGCTTTAACTGCCGCTAGTAAAGGCAATCCATCAACTCTACTGTCAGCTACCTGAGACACGACATTAATCACAGTACGTGGTGAACTTATTTGTCCTAAAACAGCAAGGACATCCAATGCCGCTTGTCTTACACGTTTCTTGCGATCTAAGGCTGCTTTCGTAGTACGCTCAACGCAATTGTTAATGTCAAAGTATGTACTAGGAAATGTCACAAGTGCAAATATAACCATTTGAAGGGAATTTTCTCTAAACTTTGAACTTCTTGCATGTAAAAATTCATCTGATAGTAATTTCAATACAATTGCTGCAGTTGGAAGACGTTGCATTAAAGTCTTTGCCACTAAATTTGATCCAGCACCACCTAAGCGGCATAAACCTGTGACAATTTGTGTTACACGATCTTCAAGGTTTTCGAGGGGTAACCTTGATATTAAATTAGACAATACTCTTCTTTGATCTTCTAAAACATCCGGATGTCTTTCTGATGTTAAAAGAGTCCTTAATAATGAGTCTAAATATGGCTGAACTCTTGCTAGATTATCTGACGATTTGAGAGCGTCCTCAATTGCACATATAGCCTTTGATCTCAATCTAAAATCCTGCAATGTAATTTAAATAAACAGTTCCATTAAATTAAAAATAAAAATGAGCCCAATTTAGAAGTTTTCTATATTTTACGAGAAGTAATTTTAAACGTAAATTGTTCCTTATGGAAATTAGCACCATAAAATATATTATTTCATACTTCCGGATATTTTCATACTTAAATATAATGTCCAGCATACCGCACCAACCAAATATGAAAAATCTGTGTCAATTGACTAGTGAAAAATATTTTTGCTCATTTCTACCATACACACATTTTCAAGTTCCGTCAGTAAGTATTTCATTACTTTTATTTAATTTTTCTTAGCATGCATTCAACAAGCTCACCATTTCTTCAAGTTTAAGACTAATAACAACTTGTACAAAAGTGAAAAGTAAGCAAAGAAATGAGTATGGAGTATATTTAGTCATGCGGTCTCAATTTAGGTCAACAATTTTTATGATAAGAATTGCCACCCTAGAAAATAAGAATCTGCCACTTACACTTTTAATTTCATTTCATAACGACTTGTTCTACATATGACTTTTTATATGGCGAGACATAGAATTTATTTTCCTTTTTAATTACACCTTAGATTACAGATTAGCCATTGTGGTAAGAAAACTTTCATTTTTAGGTCTTTTAGAGCACGATAGAAAACTTTTTAATAACTGTAACACATTTTTTGATAGAATTTATTAAAATTATTCATATCTTTAGTGTTAATTGTTGGAAATGATTCATTTTTGGTATAACAAATATTTATAAAATTAAATTGATGTTTCTAGTTTTAATTTCCTTTAATATACGCACAGTGACTATTTTTTTAATCTAACTTAATCATCATTTGTTAATTATCTTTTATCAATTATTGAACTCTATTTGCACGTTATACACAGTTGTACATTACTCACATCCTTTCACCCTATCATAATATATTAATAATTATTTCATTCAACATGCAGTCTCGATGTGCTACGTGAAATTTGGGTCAAACTCTAGCCGCATTTATTTACTTTCTTCATTTCATATTATTCTAATTATTTTCATTATGGTCACCTACACATTTTGTGGTGTTTTTAAGAAAAAGGAAAAATCTGTGGCAAGAAATCGATAGAATAATTTTCATGCTTTATTTTTCAGACAAGAAAGCATATCGCGTGGTTGGGAAAGCCGAAATGATCGCTCTTTCTATAAATTTCGGTTTTTTTGGGAATTTTATTGCAATTTTCAAAAATTTTCTGATTTTTATTTTAAAAGCCACTACTCGTTATTAAGGAGAACTTTTTTCATCCTATAAGCCAATGGCTTTTAACGTAAAAATAAAGTAATAATAAAATTTGATTGAATAAAGGAAAAATAATACAAAATCTCTATAGACTTTTGCCTTAATGAATCTGGTTCACTTTTAATCTGTTTAAACTGTTTTGTTATTATTCTCGTTAATAAACTATTTTTTTTTATTTATAAATAAACTTAAGTATAAAAAGAGATCGAATTGTACTATTCCTTTTAAAGAAAGTTTTTCCTTTCAACTAGTAAAGTCGTTTAAGTAAAAAAAATGAAATTTGCTGTTGGATTCTTGTCATTAATTGTGATAATATTTCAAGTAAAATGTGTTAGTGCTGAGGATGAAAGTCAAGCATGCATGATTAAAATTTTAAAAGAAAAAGAGCTCTTAAATGAAGATTTTTCTTATCCTCGTCAACCGACAAGATGTTTTTTGGCAGCAATAATAATTACAGCAATGGAAGATGGATTTTATTCCAAGTTTGACAATGAAGAAGGCATCAATGCAGATTGTGTTAAAAGTGAGCTTAAGAAAAAAAATCTTGTTTATCATCTAATTAAAAAAGATATTATTGAAAGTTCAAAAACTCTGTCAGAAGAAGAAATTAAGAGTCTCTTGAATGAAAATAAGGAAACTATGAAAAGCATTCTTAATAGTGCAGCAAAAGCCTGTAAAAGTGATGACAAATGGGGAGGAATATTTGATGATGTTTTGGATATTAAAAACACAACTCATGCTGCACTTGAGAGCAATTATTGTTGTTTGAAAACATCAATTGATAAGAATCTTATTAAAATTGAAAATATTGATGTAAATCCCTACAATTTTGATACAAGCAACGTTGACTGTAATGCAATAATTGAAAACAAAAAAAATGATATAGTACGTAAATTTAGAGCAAAATACAACGAGTCTGGCTTATCACAGAACAAGATTAACTGCATTGTAAATAATTTGAATGAATCAAATTTCTTTGATACAACAATTGCATTGAAAACTCTAGAAAAAATCGATTTGGAGCCTTTTGTTCGTGCAGAAAACAAAAGGAAGTTGTCGAATAAAATTGAAGCTGGAATTACCGGAATATTTTCATGTATGATCGAAAACTATTGACAAATTGAAAGTTTATTTCAACTCGATTCCGGCTTGAAATTTTATTTAAAGAAAATGTAATGAATTAGAAATATTAATAAAGTGCTTAAACAGCATAAAAAGAAATTAATTTTTTAAACTTAAATCTTAGACTCCACTCCCCTTTAAAAGTTTATAAGAATAGCTTTCAGAAAAAAATTAAAACGTCATTCAATTTAAAAAAAATTATTTTCTTTTTATATTTTTTTAAAATAACAATTGTGAACTTTTTATATAAATTTATCGTTCATCATCAAATTTTTTTTAGTTGATCGTTGATTGTTGACCGCGATAAACATGACATTTATATTAAAGCTTACAATCATTACATTAGTTCTGTTTGGGTTTGATGAAGCTGCGCAATTAGAGGAAGGGAACGCGTGTATCATTCAATATTTGAAGAACAAGCAAAGACTTTCGCAAGATTTTCCATATGATACTCAACCTGATACGGTAAAATGTCGATTGGTTATGCCATTAATTCTGAAGCATTTAGAAACTGCATTAATTCAAAAGTTGTCAGAAAAAGAGGACATAAAAGTAGATTGTATTATGGCACATCTAAAAAATGTTAGTGCTTTAGATTATATGTTAATGAGAGAAATAATTCCAATGTCAAGGAACTTGGAAAACTCAGAAATTACCCAAAAGACACGAAATACAACAAAAGCTCTCAGAAGAATTTTAATAAATGGAGCAACTAAATGTGGCAGTGATAAAAGTTACAGTGGTTTATTTGATGATATTCTTGGCTTGCAAAATATGTCAATAGCTGTTTTGCAACATAATTATTGCTTCTCAAAGTATGCAGTAGAAAACAAATTAATTGAAGTTAAGCATATTAACTTGAATCCTCGAAGAATTCCTACAACAAATCTCAACTGCGAAGAGATGATTGATATTCAACAAATCACTAAAGAAAGACAATTGTTAAGCAAATTAAATGATAAAAAACTTTCAAGAGAAGAAGTTCAATGTATAATGGACAAATACAGGAGTGAAAAGGCTTTTGACTCGAATGTTGCGCTTGAGGTTGTTGATTTTCTGCACATTTCATATGAAGAAAAGCGCGCAAATCGTGAAAGGATTGCAAATTCATTGGAAAAATATATAAAGTCTGTTTTCACTTGTAAAAAGTCAATTCTGGAATTGTTAAATCATAATTCTCAAGAATATGTTAAAATCATGCAATTTTGAAATGCTCACACACTACACATTACTCAAATTATGTCTCACAAATCAGCATCATAAATGTTTTTATGTGCAAATTGCCGTCGTAATTTGTCACTTTATAACTCAACAATTCAATTTATATAATTTAGTTAAATTACTATTTATCTACTAAATCTACAATCAAGGGAATGTAGTAAAAGTTTTGCTTAAATTTGCAATAGTCGTAAATATGACGCGAGAGAGAAACTTTATTGTGAGAATCAGTGAGATTAGTTCCAAGCATAATTTTTAAAATTTAAATTCAAAATTTTGATCAATAAATAAATTAACTTTAACAATATACAAATTTAATAAAAAATATGAAATGTTAATTAAATGAACAGAAATTTGACTTAATCTTAAATAAGCAAAATGTAGTCAGCCAGTTTAAAGGATTGTGCATAATATTTTGAAGTGGAGTGACCATGAAATGATATTATAATGCAAAAATTTCTAGTATGTGTAAATTACATCAGTGATAAATAATTGTTTTTCTTCATTCATCAAAACACGTTAAATCATGAGTAAAATCACAATGAAGTTTATAAACATCGTTTTATTCTCCTTTTTTATTCACTTGACAAATGGTGATACGAAGAAAACATCTATGAATGAAGACTTAAATCGCGCGTGTATTATTCGTTTTTTACAAATAAGAGGAAAACTCGACGAACAGATTCAAGTGTCACCAGCTCCAGCTGATATGTGTAGAATATTATTGCCATTAGTTTATGCAAATCATAGTGAACGATTATGTTTAAGATTATGGGAAACAAAAAGTATAAAAGCTGAATGTGTTTTTGAAACTTTAAAGAAATTTGAGTTTGTTGATTTAGAATTGAAACAAGAAATAATTACAAAATTGAAATCAATACCAAAAGGTGATAAAAGAAAAATTTTACATGAAGTTACTGTGGCACAGCGCGAAGCTTTGACAAGAACAGCTAAAATGTGTAAAAGTGATTTTACATACGGAGGTCTATTTGATGAAATTTTGGGAATAAATAGTTCTCTGATCGCCCTACAAAGAGAATATTGTCTTTTAAAATATGCGCTTGAAAATAAGTTTTTAGATTTACGATATATTAATATTAATCCACGAAATATCGATGTAAGAAACATCGAATGTACTTCAATCATAGTTCAATCTCAAGATGAAAGTGAGGAGAAATTATTGGAAGCATTTAAAAGTAGAAAATATTCATCAGATGCAATAAACTGTTTAATTGAAAAGTACAAAGATGAGAGAATATTTGGATGGAATTTAGCAAAAGACTTTTTGTACAAAATAAAGATCAGTGAAAATGAAAAGCGTGCAGAAGATTGGAGAATCAGCAAAAAGCTTTCAGACTTTAATAAAATTTCGTCTAACTGTTTATACTCATTTAATTGGTCGCTTTTTCAATTTAAATGAGATATTTGCATTCTCATATATATTGACATGATTTTAAAGACCAAATTATGTTAAGAAATATTTTAAAAAACATTTACTGGAATTTAAAAATATAAATTTGATAAGATTAAAATCTCATTTTAGTATCCCATAAGATGCAAGCAGCATTACTTTCCTAATCATGTCAAAATCACCATTAAATGAGCATTGACCTAAAATCTGTCACAGTTCTAGTTCTTATTAATATTCCTTTCGTTTATTATGAATAATTCATACTTCTACAGCAACAAAGAAAATGAAGATGTAAAATCCTTCTTAAAATTGTTTAAAATAAAAAAGATTTATGCTACTATTAATTTTTTGGATAAGGAATTAAATAAAGAATCATTCTTTAATATTGAATCATGCTAAAAAATTATTTCCTAGACTCTTTGTAACTTATTTAATTTTTCAAAATGAATGGAAAACATTTTTTTCTTTAATCAAAAATCATATTCTTATCCTGAAATTAATTCTCGTCATATCCGCTCTTACATTTTTATTTGAGCTCTTAATTTTAAATTAAATTTATTATTATTTGAAAGGTTCAATTATTTTAATTTCAAATCATAAAAATTGTAATTAAATTTAATTTAGACATTACTGATGCACCACGCCGTCGCAAGTTTAGAAATCAATGTAAAGATTATAAGAAATAAGTTAAGAAAAAGAAAAAAGAAAAATAAATGTCAACGTACACGCAATGTTCAATTTAAGGACATTCTGTTCTTTCACCAAAAACCCTAATTCCCCTTTCGATCAAATCTTTTTGAGACATAAACTGTGCGTTTTGTCTATTAAAACATCACAAATAATTTTGTAAGCAGCCTTTTGTAAATTTTTTTCATGAAATTCAATGTGCCTAAGGATTACAGAAAACTCGTTAAGAATTTTTTTCTCAAAAAACCCGACAGTAATAATTTGTTTTGCATAAAAATGCGTTATAATAAAATATGCAAGCTTATTACGCTTTAGCTTTTGTTTCTTATAAGCTTCGAATGCGAATGGAAAGGAAATAAAAAGAATCAAGTTAGTAGAATAAAAAAATCAATGCTCACCTACAATAGTTAAGCGCCATATAACAATTTCATATGAAATTGAAAAGAGAAAGTGCATTTTTGAGAGAATTGTTCATATAAAAATAGTGGCACTGAATTATTTACCAAGCAACGAACAAAATCGATATTATGGCGAGACTTTTATGGTTTAAGTGAATTATTATGATTGTGAATCACACTTACCCCGCTCTTTAAATCCTTTAATACATAATAATCCACAATGCCCAATTCTTCCCATGATTTGTACTCCGGCATGGGTTGTTGATATATATTTAACGTAATTGGACTTTCTTTGATACTACATGGGGATTCTTCAACACTACACGAGTCTGTACATTTCATTTCACCAACAATTGTGGTTTGAGTCATTTCATCAGTTCTCACACTTCCATTTGGCGTCTGTGTCATTTCATCATACCTTGAATGGTCTAAAGATGTTTGTGTTCCTTCTTCAGTTTTAAATTCTATAGAAATTGAATTTTTTCTATTTCTTGCTGGGGAAGCACCAGGACTTCTTGTTAAATTATGAAGCATTGTTACTTCACGATGAATCATTCGTGGTGATAAACTTGACACAGCTCTTCTCATAGGAGTTCCATTGTTACCAGAATCAATGCGATGTTTCGATGGTGAAAACATATTAGGTGTTGCTGGAGCTGATTTCATTGGACTATTATTCATTGAGGAATGCGATGAAGAAGAAGTCGGAGGTATTGTAATAATTTTGGGTGAAATCATAGGGGAGGTAGCTGGTCTTCTAGGATGAAGATATGTTTCACCATGTGCTGGACTATTCTTTTTTATCATGATGTTTGGAGGAGTAAAATGTGCTGGTAAAACAGTCTCCACGTCAGGAATCCTAATATTTAATTCTTGTGAATAATCAGTTGAAGACGATGATTCTGATTTAGATTCATGATTTTTAATAATTATCGGTTGTGTTCGAAGAATTGGACGATGACTTGAAGTTGGACGTGAATTGGACGGAGAGTTAATGATAGGTCGATTTGAAGATGTTGGTCGAGAATCTGGTGTCGTATGAATAATGGAAGGTCGAGAGGAAACAGGTCTTGCAATCATTGGAGTGGCTCTAGAGTAACTTGTCGAATCATTTGTACTCGGTATTATTAATTCAGCACTCGATTTCTTTACAAAACTATCTGCTTTCTTCTCTTTCAATTGACCAATATTATTCCTTAACTGATTTAATGACAATGGCTCGTTAATAAATCCTACATTGGCCTGTCGAATATATTCATTAGTTGTCGAATTATCTGATGAAATTGATGAGTTATCAGATAAATTTGAATTTTCTTTGACATATGTTATAGTTCCATTACTTGTCTCATTATCATCACTTTGATCAACAAAATCACTATCAGGAGTTCTTATTTTAATTATTTCACCACCAAACCGAACACGACGACCATTTTTTTGGGGCATCAAATTTTCAGTAAACTTTGAGTCATCCACATATTTTGCTTTCATTGGAGTCACAGGATATGGTGCACTAAAATCAGTAACAATTCTTTTTGCATTTCCGTTTTCATCATCACTATCATCAGTTTGCATGCTCGGATTTTGCTCTAATATTCTCATTGTTACAGCAGTTTCTGGGGTTATTTTTATCTCAGTTTCCATTATCACTTTTCCATTCACAACAGCTTTTTCACCATTTACACCATTCTCTAAAGAAACCACTTTACTGTTTGCAAATGTATTATTTTGCGTTTGAAATGACATTGAACTACCACCACTTTCACTGCCACTTGAATTACCATTGATTTCGACTGTCAAATTATTATTTGATAAACTATTTAAACTCTGTTCAGAAGATGACCTTAATATTCCAGCACTCGTTTGGCGTGGTGATCTAATCTTTTTGGGTGTTCCTAAGTTATTGCTTAATCGCGTTCTTTCAAATGGATAAGTTGCGTCATAATTTCCACCAAAAAATTTTGCGTTTGTTGTATCAATTGGAGCATGTGATGTAGGACAGTTACCTTGAATATCTTTTTTAGGTACAAATTTAGATGCCCATGGCTTTTTAGGATCATAAGCAGGAACATGCATATCTACACCGGAATCATTAAAACTTGGACTTTTTGGTAATCCATAAACTTTACACAATAAATCAAAGTCCTTTTTAACATTAATCGGCATATATTCATGAAATTCATTAAGTCCAACCATTTCCTTAATTTTCAGGAGAATTTTTAATGCTATTTCTTGATATGTTATTTGCACCATTTTGCTTGAAAGGGAGTCAATAACAGCTCTCACAACATATGATCGTTTTGGTGTTATTAAAACAGGTAGAATTAATGCTGGTAATGCGAGCATTATTGCGACTGTTAATCTTCCAGAAAATGGATCATTTGCAGGTCTATTCATACCATAGCTCATTATATCGAGCATAACAGTCTCTGGCATTGCACTTTGAGCCACATACACACGTAATGCATCTAATGCACTTTTCCTTACAGCTGGTGCAATATGACCTAAATTATCAACAAGTGGATGAAGAATATTCCCAATATGATAGTCTGCTTGCTGTCCCATCACAATGAGAACATCAACAAGAACTCTCAAAGCATGTGATCTTACTGATATTTCAGGATCATGAAGTCTTGCAAAAAATTCTTCAAAGAGCTCATCGATGTTTATTGAGTGAGGAAGTGAATTTGTTCTAATTATATGTTCCCATATCGGCGTCAATTGAAGCACACTGTGGATTAAAATTTTCAAAAGATATTACACATTAGTTGAAAAATTTCCGATAATACGAACTATACCTTAATCCACCCCCACAACTAATTGCTGAGACATTGGTTGTTCTTAATTGCTTTTCCTTTTCGCCAAATGATCCACGTCGTTGCACATTATGCATATTATTGCCACTATTAACATGACCATTATTTTGTTGTGTCTTCATTTGCCAAGTTCTTTGTGGCGGTGATTCGGAATATTCAGCATGATTTGGTGACATTTCCTCAAAACTTTCTTTACTATTATTGTAATCATGCTGATTTTTTGAAAATGCACGACGAAAAAACATTTCGCGAATTTTGATTCTTTTATCGATATTTTCGTTCGTAAATTTATTTTTATGTCACTTCATTTTCATCTAATTAAGCTTTTGCTTCTTCTTATTTCCTTTGAATAATTTATTACTAAAATCTTTTCTTTTTTATTTTTCCAACCGATTACGATGAAGTCCAAACCGCAACTGAAAGCTTAACAGAATAGAATTTCCACCCTTTCTACGACAGTATAGAAACTGGACATGTGGGAAAGTTATTCTCGGACTTGCGTGATTTAACTTGGAAAACGATCAAAATTTCTGAATGAAAACACGTGCTGTGGAATAAAATAATTTAAGTTTGTATGACTATTTGGAATGTTGGAAAATGCAACTTGCTATTAGACGTAAATTAAAAATGCCATAAATATGTTACCTTCGATCTTACTTCTCTTTCTGCCAAAGGTCCTGGGTTCAATCCCAGGCCACGTCAAATTTTCGAAGCTCTTTTTCAATTTCACCGTTCTAGTTACGAAGCTCGGTTCGTGTGTTGGGTGTAGTTTTGAAGTCTTTGGCACAGAATATGCCTCCTTTGCTAGGTATACAAGGATATACTAGCATCTGGATGACTTCCTTACGGCATCTTGCGCACACGAATTGTGACTAGGTTCATTGCAGGGTACATCAGGTCTTATGACGTACTCGTGTCTTTGCAATGTGCAGAGCATGCAAGTGGTTCGGATCCCACTATAACTTGTAGGTCTAAAGGGTGTGGTACAATAGATTCTGTTTTAATTTGAATCGCAGTGCCTCCAGCTGAAAGGCTGAGCCCTTCACACATTATTATTATTACTTCTCTTTACGGATCGTCACACAAAGTGATGAAAATAATAACTTAACCATTTTTTAAAATATCCAATTTTTGCCTAGACCGAGATACCTAAGACCGGCAATTTAATCTTGCACTTGAACATTACTCAAAGACGTGCTTATTAAACATCAGCTCAACTGATCTTTTTTGTAAATGTAAAAGTCGTAAAAGTTTAAAAAACATTCAAAATGTAGCAATTATTTTTAAATAAAGAATAAAATAGAGATATACTTACAACAGTTTATAAAAGCTGGCTTCATCTACTAAAAGCTCATCATTATAAATTTAATAAAATTGTTTTAACGGTCAAAAAACTTTAAAACTGTTGAGTGTGGTGAATTTGATATTTGTTTGCAAACAACTATGTTGCTAAGCAACATAGAATTATAACATTAATAAAATTGATGAGAAACATACGATTAATTACTTAAAATTAAACATTAGAAGATGTCTGCAACCTCACCGAAGAAACAAGGATGGATGGATGAATTTAAGAAATCGTCTAGTAAGAAAAATGTTTTTGAAAATATAGAAAAAGATCGGTTCCTAAATTCATTGGATAACACTAATGAAATTGAAATCCCCGAAATCGATGATGTTGAAATGGATGAAAAAATTAATGAGCCGGTTCAGAATAAAAGCGCTTATAAGAAGGAACTGAATGTTGAGATTTTAAAAAGCAGCAGCATTAGTTTTGATGATAAAGTTGACTTGACAATTTTACTTGAAGTTCTTGAAAATGAGAGTGATATAGAAGAAAAAGACGATGTTTGGAGTTGGAATCAACTATTTACGAAAGTAACAGCTGAAATTGCAGATGAGAAATAAAATCAAAAAATTGCAAAAAATATTTATGACTTAATTACTTTATTTTTAAAAATAACCAAAATAACATCAATAAATTATCACTTTTTAAATTTCTAGCTTTTTAATTATTTTGAAAGTGAATATTATTTTCATCATCTATTACTACTCCTTCTGTAATTTTTTCCTCCGATTTATCGCTGCGTTCATTATTCTTTGGCATTAATCCATCATCACCTACTTTATCAATGATTTTGCATACAAGTGGGCTTTCCACTCCCAATACATAATTACAAACTGTTGGTTCCAACAAGTATAGTGAGACCTGTGATGCTGATTGTGAGTTTTCCAAACATTTTAATATAACTTCAACTTGTCTGAATTTTCCAGTCTTATCACAGACACTACCTTTTGAATATAAGTTTGTAATTTGCTTTCTTTGAGTCTTTGCTTTTGGTCTTTTTTCTGGATGTGTGTTGAGAAAATCTTGATGCATGCTTTCATCAAACGTTCCCAACATAATTGTGGTTTTTCCACCAAATTTGTCAACATGATATTGTTTAACATATTTTCCATAACAAAATTCATATTTCCACCAACCAGTTCCTCCAGTTAAGCATGTTTTACCTGACAAGAAACTTTCGACTATTGATGTGTCTTCTGGCGTTGTAGAAAATTGAGAATATGGCTTTTTTGTCTTTTCTCCACTCTCAATCTTTCCAAAAATGTCTTCAATTTGTTTAGCACTTACATCTTCAACGAGCTCCATTGTGAGCTTTCCATCCTTTGATTTTAAAAAAAATATGAATGAATTTAATGTTTTAATAGTGAAAATTCTATTAAATAAAAATAGCGTGAGTAAAAACAAGCAATTCTACAAAATAAAACTTCCTACCTTTGAGTCTAACTTAAACACTGCTATAGCTTCTTTAAGACCCTTATTTACATCCTAATTAATTTGTGAAAACAAAATAGTTTAACTAAAATATATCAAGCACCTTTTTAAGGAATAAATAATAAGGAGCAATCTATCACAAAACAATCTAAATAAACAAACGGAAAAGTGACACAATAAATTTTTCACTAACCATCAATTTTTGATAGCGAAGCTTCATACTTTCAACTTCCATTCCCAAAAGACTTTTAGGTTTCTTCGGGGAATTCTCGAGCGGGATACAATTAATAGCATTTTCAGTCGTTTCCTGGATCTTATATTTGGGATGAAGGCATAATGTAGGAGTCAAGACAACAATCTCATAGTTGCAAGTTGATGTTTCTTTTAATGAATATATTTCATTTTTACCGTGTGCATAACAGACATACAGAACTCTTGTGATTCTCGGTTCATTATTTAAATCACAGAGAGTACCATCAATCATCTCAACTTCAAAATATGGTAAATTTAAGCCATCAATTTTTTTGTATTTTAATTTTTCATCTCTATTCGCTTCCAATTTTTTCCTTAACTCCTCAGTCAACAATTTATTCCATTTACCTAGATAATATTCCTGAAGCTTTGTTGTCTTTCCATCACGCTCTTCATGATACTGTTTAATGTAATTTCCATGGCATATTTCATAAGTCCAATATGATTCGATTCTATAGGAACAGACATCGCCTTTAAACAAAGGTTCTAAATAATCTAAAACTGATGTTTCCAATGTAGTTTTCTCTAATTCACCATTTTTGTTTGCTAATTTTGGTAAATGACATTGATATTTTTCATTTATATGTGTAGTCACCAAAGTCGATTCCTCTTCATTTGTTAATAACTAAGATATTATCAGATTATATATTACGTTTGTGTTTATAATAAAATTAAGTAACTTACAAAATTATTTCCAGGAAAATTTAATGAAAATAAAATATTATCATCAAATCCCTTAAAATCATTACCAAAAACTTGTTGTGTAGAAGAAATGACTAATGCTAATACATATCCGATGATGTGGTATTTTTTCATCTCAATAAAACCTTTAAAAGGCAAAGGAACTTCCTCAATTAATTAAATTTTCAAACAAAAAATCCACGCAAGATAAAAACAAACTTGAAAGGTTGCACGTAAAAATAAAAGCCTCTTTAATTCAAAAAATCGTTATTTTTTTAAATCAAAAAAAGTTTCAAATTGAATGTTTTGTTTAAAAAGTGAGGTTTATTAAGAAACTTAAATTAACTAGATATTACGTGTTATTTGAATATTAATTATCATTACCTAGACACATTGTGGTGTAATTAACAGCTAGAAAATCAATGTTACTGAAAAAATGACTTCTAATAATATAAAAGTTTCGATTAAAATTCGACCGCTAATTCAACGAGAAAAAAATGACAATCTTCCTTCATTATGGTCATTAATTGATGAAAATACTATTAAGTCTAATAATAAAGAATACAAGCTTAGTTTTGGTAAGTATTTTTCATTATTATCGGTGATATTTGTTCAGATTTTACAAAAACATCAATTTCGATGAGAAAAATAAACAATCATGAAAAAGTCAAGATCACTTCATTAAACATTCTGTTCTTTATTTCTTTAAAGATCACATATTTGAAGAAAACAGGAAGACTGAAGAGATATTCAATATAGTTGCTAAGCCGATCGTTGAAAATGCTGTGAAAGGAATTAATGGAACAATTTTTGCTTATGGACAAACTTCGTCTGGAAAGGTAATAAAAAAAGCTGCTGACATTCTTGTGCATATCATTAAAAAGTAAATGTCTTCTCTTTTTAGACCTATTGCATGATGGGAACTGAAGAGGAGCCTGGAATTATTCCACTGACTGTAAATGAGATCTTTAGGCAAATAGAATTGACCGAAGACCGTGAATTTTTAATTCGTGTTGGCTACATTGAAATTTATAATGAGAAAATATACGATCTTCTGCTGGAAAATAAGGCCGAAATTTGTAAGGTCCACGAAACATCTGGAGAAGTGGTTGTGAATCAGACGGAGATAGTTACATCGTCTATCCAACATATTTTGGAAAGTTATGATAAAGGAAATAAGGGAAGAAGAGTGGGCGAAACATGCATGAATGTAAGTTACGACCATAATGAATCATTTATAGTATATACTTATTTAATTTTTTTTATCATTATCTACTAGGAACGGTCTAGCAGATCACATACTCTTTTTAAAATTATAATCGAATCGCATGAGAATGGAAGTAAAGATGGTGTTTTTCAAGTTTCAACATTAAATTTAGTTGATCTTGCTGGTTCGGAACGAGTTGATCAAACAAAAGCAACAGGAGAACGATTGCGAGAAGGGGGCCATATAAATAAGAGCTTACTATCTCTTAGTAAAGTCATTCGAGAACTGAGTGATTTGAATGATGAAAAATCCAAAAATACTGATGGTATCAAATACATCAATTATCGAGATTCAAAATTAACAAGAATACTATCTGCTAGTCTTGGTGGTAACGCAATGACGGCCATAATTTGCACAATTACGCCTGTCGCTTTAGAAGAGACATATTCTACCTTAATGTAAGTGGTGTTTGTTTTCTTGTTTGTAAGATGAATTAGAGTAATTAGCGTATTTTTTGCAAAGTCTGCAAAATCAACCAGTTTTTGAGTGAATAGCATTGACACTCAAAAAAATAAATTGATACGTAAAATTTATTGCTAATTCATCCTGCTCAAAATCAGCCTTTAAAAATTTACATAACTATTTGGTTGAATAGATTGGAATGCAGATGACTCACTCTACAATGAGTTTTTAAAAACATGTTTGGAATACATTCATGATTGTCACAATTTAGATAATTGTGTATTCACATTTGCCTGCTTTTAAATTAAATTTTTTAAAAAATATATATATAAATCAACACCATCAAAAATAAATACTCAACAACAATTTTAATTGCTCTTCAGGTTTGCAAGCAATGCGAAAAAAATCAAGAATCAGCCAAAGGTTAATGAGACGGTTTCCGATAAAGTTATTATGACTCGATTGCAAAAAGAAATATCTGAATTAAAGGGTAAATTGGAAGAAGAAAGATCTAAGAACTCTGAAGTGTCCAAAATTCAAAAATTAATATCTCAAATTTTTGATCGAGAAAGTCAAATCATTCACTTTCAACCAGGAAAAATTTCAAAGTCAGTTGATGCTAATCGTCGACGAACATGGATGTGTCCTACAACACTTGACAAGACTACTGAAGAAATGCATCCTTTAGCAAAGAATAATTTGATGGCACCGCCACCTTTTATATTAAAACAAAATTCAGTATCTCCAAATCCTGAAGAAATCTTTTCCTCTAGTGATGACTTCCTCTCAAATGAAATTTTTCAATCTCCAGATAAAATACAGTTTGAAAAGCAGATGATTTTTTCTAGTTCAAGAAGAAATACTTTAAGAAATTTTTCGCCAAGTCAAATTCGTACTCCTAGAAGTCTAAAAACCATTGTTGAGGTAGATTCGCCGCAAATTGGGAAACCTAAAAGTATTAATGATGAAAATGGAATTTTAAAGGCTCGTATAAGATATCTGGAAAATGAATTGGAAGAGTTACAGGATTTCAAAACGCTTGAAGAAAACATAATGTCATCAATTAGTACCGACGACATAAAAATTTTAGAAGAAAATTTTGAGCGTACAAAACAACAATTATTTGAAAGTGAACAAAAAGTTGATATGCTTGAAAATGATATGATGGATAAAATGATTGAGATTGAAAATTTAAAGGATTTGAAGGAAAAGTTTGATTCCATGACAGTGGAATTAAACGAAGCTAATCAGAAAAAACAAAATGCGGAAAATATTCTTGAAAGTGTAAAATATGAATATGAACAGGCACAAATTAAGTTTAAAAATCGTGAAAAAGACTTGATTAATTTATTGGAGGAAGCGAGGACTGAATCTACAGAAAATGACAAAGTCTTAAAGGAAAAAATTAAAAATCTCGAACAGATTCTTCGTAAGACCGAAGAAGATCTTCATGCATTAGAGACACAGAAAATGGCCAATCAAACTGAAAAGATGACTGACTCTGGTAAGTTAACAGACATGAAAAATAACATAAAAGATTTAGAAATTAAATTAGAGTTGGCAATAAAAGAAAGAGAAAGATCAGTGCAAGCATTAAACGACAAAAATAGTGAATTAGAAACTTTGTCAGACCAAATAGTTGAATCTGTTCAGGAAATCGATAGTCTTGAAGATCGTCTTAAAAAAATGGATGAGTTATTAAAACTGAAGGATAATGAGTTTGGAGAACTTACTTTAAAATTAACAGACCTCGAGAAAATTTCTAATCGCTATCAAAAGATCCAAAAAATTATTGCCACTGAAGAGACAGTTCCTGAATTTGTTTGCGATGACAATGACGACACGTATAAATGTATTGCTGAATTAAAGCAAACTGCAAATAAAACTGAGTCTTTAGTAATGGAAAATAAGCTCCTAATTAGTCAGATTGCCGAAAATAATCGCATAAATGAAGAAGTTGAGAATCTAAGAAAACAAATATCTGAACTGGAAGATTCAATCCAAAACAAAAATACTGAAAACGAAAAACTTTTGGAGCATGAAAATATGACTAATAGACTCGAGAAAATACAAAATTTATTACTAAGCGAAGAACCGTCAATGAATGATGACGATAATGATGATATATGCAAGCTTATTATTAAGCTACATAAAAATTCGATAAGTTTGGGTGCAAATAATTTAAATATTTTAGATCAAATCAATGAAAATCAAGATTCAAGTACGGATATTGAAAATTTAAAAAAGAAAATAACTGATTTGGAAGAAGAAGTAAAATTGAGAGAAAGCCAAAAGGAATGTCTGCAATCAAAATTATTAGAACTAGAGAATATAGCTTGTCATTATCAAAAAGTACGAGATTCATTACAATCAACTGAAGAACCATTATTAGAAAATAGTGATGTAATTAAACAGATATCTGATTTACATAGAATGGCAAGTAGGACGGAACTGCTAGAGAATGAAAAAGCTCAATTATTAAATGAAATTGCTGAAATACGTCAGTCCGCAGAGATTTTAACAGAAAAATTACAAAATCAAACTCTATCTGAGGCCGAGTATCAGCTACGCGAAAAAATTGATGCTTTAGAAGTGGAATTAAAGGAAGCAAACGAGCGGTTTGACGAGCAAATTGTAAAGAATAATGACATTGAATCTAATAATTTGGATCTCCAAATTAAGATTGAGGAAGTTCTGGAAGAAAAGGAAAATTTACTATCTCAGCTTGAGGAATTTAAAAGTAAAAATGAAGTATCTGCATGCACTAATTGTGATAAAATTCAGGACATGTTGAATGATTCTACCAATAAAATTCATGCATACGAAATCGAAATTTCACAATTAACTTCCAAACTCGATGAAGCAAATATTCAGAACACAGAGCTTCTCAAATCCAATAAGAATCATACCGACCAGATACTTAATATTGAAGCAGAATTAAAAGAAGTAAAGGAACAGTCTAATGAACGTGCCAGTCATGAAAATAATAATTATTCGAAGGATACAACAATAATTGATTTCCAACAGAAATATGAAGAGGTCCTTAAAGAAAAAGATGATTTGATTGTAAAAGTTGTAATGTTAGATGGAGATGTTAAGTTCAAAACTAATGAGCTTACAAAACTTCATGATCAGCTGGATGAAAATGTTAAGAGAATCCAAGAATTTGAGAATGAAATATACAAATTATCCCTTAAACTTGATGATGCCAAAATCGAAACAGCCAAAGAGATGGAATCAAAAGCAGATTTGCAAGCCAAAGTAGATGAAGTTAACGAAAGTTCTTTGGCTGTGATCGAGCAATTGAATTTTGATTTACTTTCAAAAACTAATGAGATTTGTGAATTAGAAGTTCAGCTGAGTGAGAAAACAAAGAAAATCACTGAATGTGAGACTGAAATCGCACAGCTTAATTCTAAATACTCGACAGGAACTGAGTCAAGTTCTGACTTGCACACACAGATGGAAGAGATTATTCAAGTAAGGGAAAGTTTGTTGACTCAAGTTGAGCAGTTGAAGGAAATTATCGGATCTAAAGACAGTGAACTTGTCGTGCTCAAAGAACAAATGGATGTATTAGCCAAGAAAAATGATCGGTGTGAAGAAGAAATCGCACAGCTCAGTTCTAAATCCTCGACAGCAACTGAGTCAAGTTCTGACTTGCACACACAGATGGAAGAGATTATTCAAGTGAGGGAAAGTTTGTTGACTCAAGTTGAGCAGTTGAAGGAAATTATCGGATCTAAAGACAGTGAACTTGTCGTGCTCAAAGAACAAATGAATGAATATGCGAAGAAAAATTATCAATATGAAGAAGAAATCGCACAGCTCAATTCTAAATACTCGGCAGCAACTGAGTCAAGTTCTGACTTGCACACACAGATGGAAGAGATTATTCAAGTAAAGGAAAGTTTGTTGTCTCAAGTTGAGCAGTTAAAAGAAATTATCGGATCTAAAGACAGTGAACTTGTCGTGCTCAAAGAGCAAATGAATGAATATGCGAAGAAAAATTATCAATATGAAGAAGAAATCGCACAGCTCAATTCTAAATACTCGACAGCAACTGAGTCAAGTTCCGACTTGCACACACAGATGGAAGAGATTATTCAATTAAAGGAAAGTTTGTTGTCTCAAGTTGAGCAGTTAAAGGAAATTATCGGATCTAAAGACAGTGAACTTGTCGTGCTCAAAGAACAAATGAATGAATATGCTAAGAAAATTAGTGATTATGAAAATGAAATATCACAATTGACTTTCAAATACAACGAAATCAACAATCAAAATACAAGACTGCAGGAATTGAATTCAGATTATATGCATCAAGTATCCAAATTAGGTGCTGAATTAACAAATAGTCAGTCACAAAATTTATTAAAAGAGGAAGAATTTAAGAATCTTCAAAAAGAACTTTCACAAATAAATGATCAAATAAAACAGAAAGTAAAGGAATGTGAGGAGCTGAAAATTAGATATCGACGTCGATCTGAGGACAATGAGCGTAAACATAATGAATTAGAGATGGCAAATACTAAACTGTTGCAAGAAGTAGGGGCAGCAGAAGCGATTAGAACATCCATTGAAAACGATCTAAAGAAAATGAAGGAAGAGTATGACCAAATACGTGATTATAATAAGTCATTAAAGGAAGAAAATAACAACCATGATATGAAGTACACAATTCTTGATCAGAAGTATAGTCAACTTAGTGCTATTAATTTGAAATTAGAAGAAAAGGTGAAAGACTTAAAGAAAATAATTGAATCTAAAAATAACGAAGTCATAAAGAAGCTCGAGAAGGAAATAATTGAATTGAATGCAAAGCTATGGAAAAAAACGACTGAGAATGAAAGTAAAGCTGCAATTATCAAAGAATTGAATCAAAAGTGTGAACTGTTGGTAAAAGAAGTGGAAGAAAATCAATTAAAGACTAAAAAATCTTTCAGTCCACCGCATCGTCGTAGCGATGAAAAGGAACTGTTTGCTCCTCAGCATATGCTCAATGTTGACTCAAGCACACCTTCTCGTACAGTGAAATCAAATATTGAAAGGAAAACTCGTCGCCAAAGCGTTTATGATGAAAGACGTGATTTATCAGCATGGGAACTGATACAATCTAACTCAACACAAACAGATCCTGTCGATAAACTGTGTCGCTGTGATGAACTTGATGAATTAATTAAGGAATTGAGAGTTGAATTACGTTTTCGTGATATTAAGATTGCAAACAATCAGAGAATGGCTAACATTAATATTTATAAATATCAATTGGAAGATGCTAAGCTGGTAAGCTTTTAAACTAACATTAATTCGTTCCTTAAAGAAATTGACATATTAATTATTTTAGGAATATCAGAAAGAAAAACGAGAAAATAATAAATTAAGAGATATCAAAGAAAATCTAGAGGAAAAGTTGCACAGTGCTAAGTCCAAAATTCAGGAGCTAGAAAGGAGCAAGCGATCTTTAGAGGGCATATCTAAAAGTGCTCAAACTGAGTATAATGTTATTCTTAAGGTATGCATAGTTGGTATATTTTTTTTAACATTGTTAATGATTATTTTAAATATTTCAGGATGAGTATGAAAAGGTTGTTTATGAAAAGAACGTGCTAGAGAAGAAGCTGAACGAAGTTAAGCTCCAATTGAGCCAGGAAAAGAAACTCTCGGAAAAAGAAAATTTAAGTCTTAACACAAGACAGCTCCAAAATATCCCTTCGAATGAAAATGACATGTCTGATAGATCAAATAGTATAAAACTTGATTATGATATCTTGTCAAATGATTATAAAACATTGCAAAAGAAGTATGATACAGCAAAAAGATTATGCAATTTAAGACAAGATGATTTAAATAAATTACGGGATGAGCTGCAAAATCAAACCTTAATAACTGAGAAAATGGTAACAAAATACGAGAAGGCAAAGCAACTTTTAGAGATTAGAATGGAAAAAATTCGTAATTTACGCGAGCAACTTGGAGAAACTCAAGATCCTAAAGAATTTACTGATTTCACTGCAACACACTAATTTAACTTCGATATGAATATTTGTTAAATTAAAAGTACAGTACTTAAGACTAATCATGTTATACACAAGAATGTAATTAAAACAATAAAAATATTTCAAATCTTCATTGTTTATTGTAATTAAATGATAAATCGAGTATGTTTATTTAAAGGACTAATATTTCGTAACGGTTGCTGTTTAATTCTTTTTCTTCATAAGCTATATAACAGACTTGATGACTTGGCTGTAAAACAAAACAAATTAAATACAGTTCGATTTTTGTTGTTTCTTAAAAAACGTACTTGAATTTTTCCACAAACTAATGATTCCTCGTACTTATATCTTCCTACATAAAGTGGTTCTGAATAAACTTCAGAGTAACCACAACGAAAAGCATTTTGTGGATAACTTCCAGAATCAGCAATGGCCCAATTGGCATCTCCTTCTGAGCACAAAATCTCGAAATCATCTTTTCTGTTTGAAACACATCCCTGAAATTACTATTGACTGTCAAGTCCAATTATCTTATTAAGGGTGCCATTAAAACCATACCCAAGGAATCACTAGCACTTTTTCATTTTCAAGAACCATTCCTGGCGTTAAAGATCCTTAATTAATTAAGAAAAATTATAAAAATGGCACAAATTTATTTTTGAAAATTATTAAAGATTTACCTTCATGATGAGCTCTTCCAATAAATACTTTTTGTCCTTTATACTTTCCACCAACTACAGCATTTTTTGGTAAATTAACTCCATCAAAAGTAACCCAGAATGGAATTTCGTCTTTCATTGAAAATTCAAAACTTCTTCTTCTAAACTGCTTCTTATTTTATTTCGAATAGAGAACTCTGTGTTTATTCCGAAAATGAATCACTGAAATTGTAAATAAGCAGGGATTGTGCATAAATCACTGACTATATTATTTTGGAGTAGGGATTTTTTGACGCCGGCTAGCTTCAAACACACATTATTGAGGCTGAGACAATTTTAATTACTTTAAGTACCTTCATACATCTTATTTCCACAAGGGGCTGTTCACTTATTACGTAACGCGAAAAAATGACTTCTTAGACCCCCCCCCCCCCTCGTAACAAAATTTGTATGAAAAAAAAATTTCCTTGTTTGAACCGTAACAAAATCTTAGACCCCCCCCCTCCCCCTAAAAGCGTTACGTAATAAGTGAATGGCCCCCAAGTTAAGCAGATTTTTCAGAATTTACATTTTTACGTTGTAAGCCAGTGTAGAATAGAGTAATAAACGAATTATAATTTTAGCCAACCAGTATGTTCACAAAACTTCAAATATGGACTAACCCTTATGAGACATATTTTGTAAACCTTCATTTATACATTTCACTCGAAGCTTTTTTCCCCCTGTAAATAAACCTTTTGAAAATACAACCAATCAGCTGTTCTTTAAACGTTTCTAATGTTTATTCATTCTTAATTCAAACAATAAAATTTATACTTTAAAGTCTAATCATTCTCTAATATATATATGATTTTTTTTTTCAAATACATCACATTAATATGCGCTTTGTAAGTTATTTAAACTCTTTATTTAATTACAGGTATTTGCTAAGCTCAACAGTTAAAACGCCTACAAATCTTCCAAAAAAAGGGTTGATATGCAGGGCATACTGTATAACTAAGATTGACACTATATGATTTACTAAGTTTTCGTTGTTGTTTTCATAATCACGTCTTAAAAAGTTTAGAGGAAAGAAAAATAAAAGTTCTAGTAAGTGAAATCATTCATTAAAAGATTTTTGTGAATATGAAGAACAATCATATGAATGCACTAAGTAATGGCACATTGAATAAAGTGATGAATAAATTGGGATGCAAATAATGAAAGATGGCAGTGTGACGATAATTGAGCATATTTGAAAATAACTTTACCATTTGTTCTAGAAATTATATGTCTATATTGTCTTCAATTTGGTATTGTCCAGCAATAAGTTCAATCATCCCCAGTCCCCATTGTTTTATACATTTTTTTTTCATATAAAAGTTTCTATAACAATCTAACAACTAGCATTATTTGTGCTATAATAACATCATTTTTACCACCTACAAAATGTTTTACAAAAAAATAAAATACAATAGACATAGGAATTAACTATAGGACATAAAAATTTATACCAAAATTAAGTTAATTCACAATCATTATGAAATTAAAAATAATTATATTAATTAGGAACCAAAAAGTCTAATGTCGGTTAATTAAAAACTAAAGCACAGATAAACATTGATCTTTAATACCCTCCAGCTCCTAAAAAGATACGGATTTGTTCAAAGCTTAGCCAGAACGTTAACGACCATGGTGCCATTCTAATCCAGCATGGTAAGAATCCCTTATAAAGAGCATATAAACCTTCTTTTGCGACAGTCTTTTGGAAGCAGTCTACTGATCCTTTATAAAGCGTTCCACTAAAATTAAAGTAATACATGATGTTATTTAATGCACAATTGTAAGCTTATTAAGATTCATACCGTCCCAGATCATCAATTGGTTGATTCATAACTCTGGTTTTTATCACATCAGCAGGTGTAGCCAAAATTGCAGCTACCAAACCGGCACATATAGAGGAAATAATGTGGACAACATGATCATCAGGTAAATGAAATGTGCTTATGATATATCTCTTGACACTGTCGTAAGTTGTCAAATCTCCTAAATTGACTAAAGCTGCTCTTTGTACATTTGGAATACTTCCTTTCCATAATCCCTTGATACCTCCTCGTCTAACAATCTCTCTGAATGCATGAGCTGCACTATTGACACGTGGTTCTAAGCCCATTAAACGTCTTCTTCCTTCCATTTGAATTTGCACTTTTACTAAATCAGCTGGTGATGCTAAAAATTGAGCAAGAGCTGAAATCACCAAAGGAAATAATTATTAACTGCTTGATTTCTTAATCTTTAAGTATAATTACATCCTGCAGATACTCCAGCAATAGCTGACTTTCCTAGGGTCATAGATTCTGAATTATGAACGAATTTCTTCCTTAAAAAGTCAAATGTTCCTATTCTAACGCCTGAATAGACCAAATGTCTGTAAAGTGCAGGACTTAATCCTTGAAATAATTTAAGCATTCCTTCTTCCTTTACAATGCCTAGTGCGGTTGCCACCATTCCACGATATGCCTAATACAAATAAAAGCATGTATTGATTGAACGCAAACAAAAATAAGTTACAATTACACTACTAAGTGTTCATTATGGATTAAAAAAATTATAATGATATTAACCATTGTTTTGCCGGCTGCATTTGCTGCTTCACCTTGTATTTGAAGCCTTGTTTTGGTTAAATCTAATGGATATGTTGCTGTTTCTGCCACACATGCAGCAGCTACAGAAATAGCATAAGTACACCAAAAAGAATCTGCATAATGTGCAGGTCTAACGGGACGCATAGAGTCTGGCCGATGGTGTGGCAAATTTTCCTTTCCTTCCTGGTAACAGAAAAACGAAATAAAAAAATGTGTTTTTGTTGAAAAACAAACATTTGTGTATAAATAGATTAGCAAATGTTGGAGGCACGTCGCGATCACAAGCTTTCAACTTGTATGTTAAAGCGAGATAGTCAAAAAATCTTGTTTTTTTGCCTCCATAAACTGTACATTTTTTGTCATTATATTCTTTATTTGTCCTTGACTCTCAAGATAGTCTAACAGATTTCAGAAAGTGCTTATCATTAGATTACTTCCAAATCAATAATGCGACTTAATAGTTTTTGTCACTCGTACATTTTAATTAAAATCAATAATACGTTTTTGGCACGTAGTCAATAGACGAAAACTTGTCACACGATTAATTTTATGCACTTTACGGTGTTCTGACTCGTTTATTATCTAAAAATACTTTTCGGCAACTCAACAGTGTCTAAAATTAATTCTATTAATGCAAAAAGTTTCCCTTTACTGATTGTCATCTGTTGTCGCGCACGTTTCTAAACAAAATTAATTTATAAACTGAAGGCGAAAGTTATTCTTGTTGCAAAAAGCATGGTCATGTCATGTAAAAAATGTATCTTCTCTATTTCCGTTTCAGTGGGTGAGAAATATGCAAATAAACTTGTATGTGACATTGACATGCTCTTAAATGCACTTCCTAAACATTCTATATTTAATGCACATGACTTTTAAAGCTATAGCATTAACAATAACGAACCTGACTTACTTCCAATGAAGACATTCTTTATATGCGTAATAATTGAAGACTATGTGATAATAAACGTTGAATTGAGAGATTTACAAAGCTTATTTTGGATGTTTATGTGTAGCACTGTGTGGACTTTGAACTTCTAACTTGCAACCAAGGTAATTTAACAAACGAAGATAAATCAATGTTTTTTTTTTCGAGGGTTCCAACTCCAATAATTGAGTGCTATCAGATTGCAAATTGTTTATTTTAATTATTTTACTAATAAGCTGATTAATATTTAAATTTTTAAAAAATTAAAACATTTGACTAGAGAATTTATTTTGCTTATATCATCACTATTTTAGTTCTAGAAGATGATAAATTCAGGTCCACTGGAGATAAAAAATAATTTAATGAACACTTATTTCTTTTTTAAGAATTAAAAGAAGAATTACATCACTTGAACTAGGAAGATTTAATCATAATATTTCACTGCATTTTAATTAAAATTGGCTGGACGTACTCCTTTGAGGAGGAATAATGACTGTAAATTTGGTACTGAAAATAAGTTTTATCATTGTTTATTCTTCCTTTTAATGAAATCTCTAAAACATCCAAAATATTTTTTTCGTTCTATACTCGGTAAAATTTCACGTCCGAATGACATATATTCTCTTGAGCATAAGTTTAGCTGCTGTTTTGGGACTATAGTATTTTACGTGTAATTTACATTTTCTTCACATTGTCCAAGTGATTTTCAAGACTGTTTTATTTGAATACACTAAAGCTCTTTTTTCTGCATTGAATTTTTACTTGTATGATGTAAATATTATGGTACTTTATAAGAGTTTACTAGAATCAGCTGTAGTCACAAACACATAAATGCTTGCAGGGTTCAACAGTTTCATTTTAATAACAAATATAATTTACTAAGATATTAATGGTTGACAAAGCTTTAATTTTATGAGAATGTAATTAGCTGACATTATTGTACAATATTGAATCATAACTGGCAATTAAAAATTTAAATCTTATGCTGTATTTATGTTTTTAAATGTTGACCAGTATCGGCATGTTAAACTATAGATTTTAATCGAACCCTGCTCCACACTACTAACACAAATAAATTATTAAATTTTAGAAATCATTTAGGAAAAACTTTAATTTGTTAATTTTTTAAACGATTGATTTGATTATAAGGACATAAACATGCTCGGAAATATCTTTTTTACAGTGTTAAGTTAAAATAAAATATTAGATTCCAAAAATTTGAGTGGAAATTTGAAAAAAACCAAAATTAACTGTAAATCTGTCCAAGTCATCGAAAAAGAGTTAATAAAAATCTCAAAAATGTATACTGAATGGACTTCTTTGACAAATCAGATTACATCTAATGTTAATGGTTCCCAATCACAATCAACTTTGAATAAATTCAGTCCATTAATATCTCGTGATGTTACCTTTGCCTTAGTAATGATTGACTATTTTGAGATACAGAAGAGAAAACTTACAATTGGTTCCATTTTAGGTGAAGCAATTGGCTGGAACTCTTGGAATATCTGGGCCAGCAGAACCATCAAAGCTCTCATCAGATCAAGATGTTTCCTTTTGTATGGATGTTATATGTTTTGGTCTATCACTCCCACTTACAGACCACGAAATAATTAAAGATTGCGTAAATCTTTATTGCGAATGGTTAAGTGTCACCACATCTCCCAAAATCGCAGTTCCAAAGCCTATATTAGATGACCCAAATATTTACACGCGTAAAATTATTGGTCATTTGCATAATTTATTTGTTCCGAGACACGGTGAAGGTATGAAGTAGATCAACGTATTATTGGCATAACTTTTTTCACCAAAACTCACAAAATTTGCACGTTTGCAGTGTGTTTATTGTTTTGTTTTATTTATAACTTAATGGGTCGTTCACTTATTACATTCAAGAGGAAGGGGGGGGGGGGGGGGGGGGTAAGTCATAAGTGGACGATTCATTATGATTTTTAATTAATCTAATTGTGTTTTCTTTTTTTTTTATAATTCACTTACAAAACTATCACCAACCACTACACAAATCCACAAAATGATAACTTCACCATCCAAATAATGTGTACATAAATGTTGTTTCTTAATCCAAAAAATATGTTTCTCTTGTATATTTAGTCGTGCCATTCCTTTATCAGGAGAACCTAGGTACATGAATAATTTATAAATATGCATTTTCTTTATTCCATAATTAATTATTATTAATTTGTACTAATTTTCATATAACATTAGCCAAGAATTACATATTCTCCATACTTACAACTGTTTTGTATGTATTTTAGGAACTGATGTCATTAATCGACAAGCAGTTCTTTGTCATCGTGTGTTAAGAACAATTCAAAATATTGCACAACATTCATCAATTTTGACACGTGAAACTTGGGAGTCAATCTTGCTATTCTTGCTAGCAATCAATCAATTATTGTTATCACATCCTACATGCGATGTTGGAGATCAATTATGTGAACGGGTTTTAAGTGTTTTATTTGAGGTCTGGATAATATCATGTTTTAAATGTTTTCCGTCCCCATCGCTTTGGAAAACATTTCAAGAATCGTGTTCAAACTGGCGACATCGAATGGCTTTAGTAGAGCAATGGAATCGAGTTAATTTGGCTCTAACTTCTCGCTTACTTGAATTTATGTATGGACCATCATTTCCGGAATTGAAAATTCCAGATGAAGATAATCAATTGATTCCATTAGAAATGACAAATGATTGTGTTGCACAGGTTTGGTACAGATTTGTAAGAATCATGGGATCTCCAACAGCTCTCTGCTGTCCTCAAGTTATAAGTCATACGCCAGCATTCATGCAACATGTATTATTGCGTGAAGATTCAATTGAGCCACATCAGCATCCTTGTTTGTTGTTACTTCCTCAAATTTTCTTAAAAGCAATGAAAGGAATTTCAAGTCAAGTTGATGCCTTTTTAGGTAAGTCACTTATCTTGTTTCCTTATTCCTCACTTATGAAATTCCAAATGTAATTATTATTTATTGAAAATGTATAGGTATATTTTTGCCCTTTTCATGGGGAGAAGGAGTCATAATTGACAATACAATCAGCACAATTAACCAATCTAACACAACACCAGGTTCACATCAGCGCACGGCATCAGTAAAAAGTGGCGCTGATCAAAATGCTACTAACAGTAGTAATGCAGCTGGTGAAGGGAGTAGTAAGAATCTAGGTGCCGGATTAATGGTCACATCTGATCATCCGCACTCTTCTCCAACTCCGCCTCTTCAAAGGCGTCTAGCGAAAAGTTTTTCAGTTGCTCCATCACATTCACAATCAAAGGGTTTTTATCCACAAATTCTAATAATAATATTTCCTTTGGTTATTCCTGCACTTTATTTTTATGTAGTTTCTTTTTGATTCTTTTAGTTTCAATGCTTTTTGGATAAAAATTCTTTATTTTATTTCGGACAACAAACTTTAAAAAAAATATATATTCCAAAATTTATATTTTCGCTAATGTGATTAACACTTCATATCTTTTTGCTAACATTAATTTTTTACGCCCAATTTAATGTTGTTTATATCTAACATGATTTTTTTGTGTTATCTTGTTTTGCTTCTGGTAAAAATCAGGGCTTTCAAAAGGTTCTTTGATAAGCTTAACGAGTAGTCGATCAACAAGCATAAATACCGTAATGGCAACTAATTCTGGACCTTCATCGAATACGTCTATTACATGTAAATATTTCCATTGTTGTGCATCTATTGTCTTATTTAATAACTGCAATTTATTTTTAAATGAATAGCAATTTTGTCGATTACAAATGAGAATCGTCAACCTTTAGCAGTAGCGAGGCCAAAGTGTAACAGTATTTTGCATTTGTTCGGAGAATGGTTGTTTGATGCAGCTCATATTGGTAGCGAAATGTGGCTTCACTCGTTGAAAAGTAAATTATATAAAACATCACCTAAAAATTCTGTTCACGTTTTAAAGAAAAATTATTTTTTTTGAAGAGCAAGCAAATGAAGCAAGTCGTAGACCAAGTTCAATGATTATTGACAATAAGCGTGGGCTATCAACAATATCTCAACCAGCTTCTTTGGAACCTACTGATATGCCAAATGGTTTGACTATCGATAAGTATGAAAGTGGAAAAGCAGAATCGATCGGTGCATTATGTAGAATATTTTGTTCTAAAAAGACTGGAGAGGAGATACTTCCAGTTTATCTTGCAAGGTTTTATCTGGCTCTGCAACAAGGATTAAAGATAATCGAAAAGAGTAAAGAGATTGAAGAGACCTTAGCAAGTATATTGTTTAATTCTGCTGATCTTTTCCGTTTGGACTTGGATGGAGTGCATGTTTTGCTTCCACATTACATTGCTGCACTAGAAGTTGTTTTACCTGAGAAAGATTTGAAGATTAGATCACATAACTTGGTATTTAATAAAATTGAAGTTCGACGTGCTTCAATTCAAATTTTGCTGTCAATCTTGGCACTTCCACTTCATTATCAGAATCTTCCAATCAGAGATATTGCTGGAGGATCAAATGATAAGTATGAAAGTTAAAGGATTTTAATGTGTTTTTTTTTCTAATAGAATCTTTGTAATAGGGTCACAACATTTGGACAGTTAAAACCACGTTTAATTAACATTTTGATGAGTGGATTACAAGTTGAAACAGATTCTCAAAACACTCACATGCTTCTTGGTGCTTTACTTCTTTGTGTTCAAGATTCTGTTATTCATGAAGAGCTTGATGGTGCATCTTCAGATGTTCAATCATCTTCTGCACCTGAGACTAATTTATTAAGCTCGGGTAGGTATCAAATTCTAATTTCATTTCGCATATTTTATTAGAATTTTATTTGCTAGAATCATTTAATTTTTTTTAAAAACCAAATTCTTTTCTCATTTGTTTAATTTCATAAATTTTTTAAAAATCATCAAATTATAAATTCTCGTCACAAAAAATGATTTCTCATCGGCATTAAAACATAATAAAAAAAATCATTCAACAGCTTGTTCAGAACGTAGTTCATATTCCGTTGCTAGTAAAACATCAAATTCAAGCTATGGAGGGAATTCAAGCACGGCAACTTTAAGTAATGAGCCGACAAGTTTATTATCTGATGATATGATGCCAGAGGACTTTGAAAGTGGACCATACGGTAAAGGAAACAATTCAAATAAAATCGATGTTGTAGAATGAATTTATAATTAAGTCATACAAAGCATTTTCACATGATGTCATCAAAAATATAGCAATTAGAGGAATTTCAGAGATTTATGATTTTTCTTTGTTCACTGCTTTTGTATTTTCTTGCACAATAGTTTTTCATTGACATTAATATTTGATTTTTCTGTCAACTAGATAATGCCCATGCCTTATTCGTTAGAGCAACTTATTTAAGTTGTCATCGATTAATTTCCTCGTGGAAAACAGACTTGAATGTCTCATTAGCAGCACTCGAACTTTTATCAGGACTTGCAAGAATGCAAATTAAAGATTCTGGTAAGCATATGTACATTTTATTAAATATTTAAGGTACTTTATTAGCAGTTGTTTTTATTTACATGCAGCACGAAAAAAAACTGGTAGTTTATACTTGATTTAATTCTTGTCAATGCTCGCCAAATATTTTAATGATTAATTTTTCACAGATGCACTCGAATGTAAGCGTGCTGTAAAATGGATATGCGACTATATTTGTTATCAATGCTCTCGTCCACCACCGAGCCATAGCAAGGATTTACACAGTACAATCGTAGCAGCATTTCAATGTACTTCGATTTGGCTCATTCAGCATCCTTATCTTTTGCAAGATAGAGATAGCTTGACAAACGTATTGGAAGTAATAGAGCTTGGAATTTCCGGTTCAAAAAGTGCGGGAAAGATAGACGAACCAGTCAAGCTAATGGATGAGAAGGAATTAAAACCAGTTTCAATACGAGTACGCGACGCAGCTGAAACATTATTGACGATTGTACTTGAGCAAGTTGGGTATTTCCCAAATCCATGCGGAATACAATCTACTTCATCATTGTTGGACGAGTTTACGCTGATAAAGCATTGCAATAGTGGTGGAAATCAAGAGCACGCAATACAAAAGTTCCGCTACTTCGTTACAGAAAACTCAACAGTATTAGCAATTCTTGATGATCAAATCGGAAATTCCGAAGATTCGCAGCCAACTGTCACATTGTTATTGAGAACATCATTTGGTCGGAACGCTTGGACAGCACAGTTGCGTCATTTACCTAGAAGTAAATCAGGAACAAAATATCATGCAGTTAATCCTGGCCGTCCAATCGCAATGCATGATATGCCAATGAGGCATGAAATAGAACAAAAATATTTCCCTGATACTGTCGAAAAGGTGTCTCCTTGCATTGCTGACTATTCTATTCCAACAATCGATCAAGTTATTCAGAAAGTGGGAAATGAGTCTACAAAGCAGTTTTCCAAATTATTAGAAGAACAGCTTGTGCTTGAAAAACTATCGTGGGCTCAAACAGAATGCTCTGCTGATGGTTTGGGTCATGCGCAAGAATCTATTGCACCACCAGTATCACATGAATTTCAAGCAGCACGTCTTTTCTTATCTCATTTTGGATTTTTATCGTTTGGTGACAGTTCTCAAAAATTAAAGGAACCATCAATGCTTTCTCCATCACTTATTGTTTTGGATTCGAAGAAGGCAGGTTTTGTTAATGATTTAGGAGTTTTAGACAAAATGAGTCCTCGCACATGTGACACTGTTCATATTTTTTATGTCAGAGTAGGACAAACTACTCATCATGAAGTCATAGAGAACATGAATGAGGAAAATATTGGATCACTTGATAATAATTTCTGGCAAATGATTCAATCACTCGGAAAAGTTGTAGAAATTGATGAACATTGTGGTTGGACAGGATTTATAAATACCAGCTGGAAAATAAATAACGTGACAAATATGAAGAAAAATCGGGGAGACTTTCGAGTTGGTGATTTAAATTATAATGGAGAGAAACGAGTGATTTACTGGGCTGATGTTTCATCAGAAATTGCTTTTGTTGTTCCTAATCGTTGGAATCGTTTAGAAATAGACATTGGAGATGGTTCATGTCTTTCTTCAACACAATCAGCGGAAGTGTACTTTGAAAGAAGTGTTAGCGAGCAACCGAAAAATGATAAAATGTTTGCTGCTCAAAATCCACGAGCAATGTCATTTGATGAAAGAAATCAAGCAACTAAAGTAAATGATCCGATTCCTCCAGCTAGGAGAAGGACAGGAGCTAAATTACCTTGTTGGAACCCATCTGCAAAAATTTTGTTAGTTTGGCTGGAGTCATTTGAAGATCATTTAACTTTCCCCGTCGATGATCTTTTAACCTATACTCGAATTGGTGAAGATGCTTATCATGGAAATTCTCAGCAAGCTCGCTCTAATGAATGTTATATAATATTTCTTCATCCATTAAGCTCTGGATTACTTCGTATAAAATTGCAAGCACCACCCGGCAGGATGAACTTCGCAACTCCTTTAGTTGATGGAATGGTCGCAAACAAACGAATTATTGGTGCTTTAATACGTCAAACTGCATACAATATGGCAAAAAGAAAGCGTTTGGATAGTGATTCCTATCAACCACCTCATGTTAGGAGACGTCTCAAAGTTCAAGACATGGTATTAAAATATAAAATGGACTTGACTGAACCAGAACTTCTTACGCATTTATTTTTAAATTCATAAAATTTATCAAATGCATTAAAGTTTTAAATTGTTGTCGTTTTGTTGGTCGTCTATGCGTGTATTTAAATATGGATGAAGTCATTTGATTAAATGCATTAACTAAGATAACCTTCAAGACATCGGAAAATTTATAAAATTTCACTGAATTTATTAAGTGCACATAATTAAGTATTACAATTCACTCACCAAATTACTTAAATTCAAGTTAAGCCAAGAAAAAATTCTTACTAAATTGCTCTGTTAATGAACGGATTTATTTTAAATTTTTATATTGCTCGAGAAAGAACTTACATTTTAATAAAATATAACTTTTTAACATCACATACAAAATTGAGAAACTTTAGTCTGTAAATATTAGTCGATCACGAAGATTGGGTCGCTGCTGATTATTTTCACTTCCAAATCTATTGACTGTAGAAGCTGGCTTTGTTTTAACCACATCATTTCCACGTGTTTTGATGTTTGAGTTGATATTCCAATTTGAACTAATCTGATCTCTCACATTTGAAAAGTCATACGGATTTTTTGATGAGGCTAGCATGTCAGTGTTAAAAACACTATTAATATGAGTTTTAAGATTAGGATTAAGGGGTTGCATTGACGATTTTGGAGGCAAATATCCTGTTGAAGGCATTGTTAATAGATCGTGAGGAAAAACGTTTTTCATTGCATTTTTAACTTGAGGCATTAAATCTTGCGGTTCTTCACTTTGTTCGTCAATATTACCATAATCAAAATCTTCGTCTTTATTTCTATTGTCAATCTCTGTGTTACTTTCAGGAGTTGGAAGTGGAACAACAGGAAGCACATTAACAATTGTAGGACGTTGAGTCGTTTGAGTGCTGGAAATTCTGGTTTGCTTAAAAAAGCAATTTAGAGTGCTTTTATGTGCTTCAACAAAAGCATTTCTGCACTCAACATCAGAGCTACTGACTAATGTTCCATTTGTGCACCAAACTTTGTCTACATTTAAGTTATCAGTATCGCATTGTAAGGTTTGACCTTCACATTCATCTATTAAACCTCCATGTGTTAAGCAAGAAAGTGTGATTTCACTGTTACTACAATCATAAGTCATTCCATCCAAAAGAATTTGACTTTGTAGCAAATCAGTTGCATTACATGATAAAAGAGGTTTTCCTGGTGGTACATCTAAAGGTAAAAGTGTTGAAACTTTAAATGCATTTTTGGCTCCTAAAACTGCAGCAGCTGGCAATGTACATTCCAATCCTATTTAAGGCAAAAAAATTGATTACTGAATGTTTTTAATATATTTCCAGTAATGCTTACCAGGTACTTTATTTTCAAAATATGGAGCTTTTGTAGTAGCAAGCCATTTTAGTTCATCATCCTTTGTCCATTGCCTTTGATCATTATTATCAAAAAAGGAATTTGATGCAAAACCTTTATCCTTATCTAAAAACATTTTTTTATAACTCTAAATTAATGGATATTATTGCCAATCTTACCTAAATCAGATCCAGGAAATTTTGTATTATTGACATTTGGCTTTAATCCAGTGGTACGAATGTCAATTCCCGAGGAATTGTTTAATACATTGGGCTTCGAGAAATCAGGATTTTGAGGAAATTGATAGTCAACACCTTCAGTGCTTTCATCTTCACTAAAAATGGTATTAACGATGGTTGTTGGAAGTGGCTTGACAGTTGTTGGTCCACCAGCTTTATTTTGAATTCTTTCTGTCGATGTAACATGATTTAAGTTTGGATCAGGTCTTCGATTAATATTTCCTTCGGGAATGCTTTGATGTATATTTGTTTGAGGTACTTGTCCATGATTAGGTGTGTTTTCACTATTTTCTCTGTTAATAGTTGGAAAGCCTTGATTTATATTCGGTTGTGGATAAGGAAGTGGTCCTTGAGGCGGTTGTATAAAACCATTTCCTTGATTGTTATTATTATTTATATGTGGACCAGTTGGATAGTTTGGATAAGCTTTGGGATAGTTGTTCGGATATGAAAACATGTTTGGAAACGGAGGAAAGGGAAATTGAGGATAAAAATTCGGAACAAATAAGTTTGGCTGTTGTGGCAGGTTTGGGAATAAAGGATTGGGATTAAGTCCAGCATAATTGTTATTATTTGCCCATCCAATACGATTATCGGGTGTTTGTTGTTGATTTTGCTGTGGATTGTTTTCTGAGTTATGACTTGCGACGTTAACTCCACCTATATTGTTTCGAAAAAGCAATATTAAAAAATATTTGAGGGAAAACCCAAAAAATGTGCATAGGGAATTACCATAAGTTCGTGTTGGTTGATTAAAGTTCCAACCGTATGGATGATAAGGCGCTATAGGTGGACGAAAATAATTTTGTGTATTTACAAAATTATTTGCAGCTTCATTATATCCTGATGTATCAGGAAAATATCCTCCATACGATTTAATGTTGTGTCCTGTTTGCCCCTTTACACCGTAATTATGAGTTTGTTGTTGCTGATAATCATGACACTTTGCAAAAGTCACAAATAAAATCAACAAAATAAGATTATACACAGTCATTCCTTCCATCACTTTTACTAGAATTAAATTATTTTTATTTCTTTTACGTCTTTTGATTCTCGAGTGAGAAGTGAAACTAAAATGTTTCTCAAAGAATTAATGTAGAAAAAGATTTATATATTGATTCCACTCTCTCTCTTCTTTTATTAATTTGTTTATTTTTTATTCCCACATTTTTGTTCTACCATCATTATCAGCGTAAAAATAAAGAGAGTCAAAAGAAGTGGGGGTTTTTTACAGACTCTTTCTTTATTCCTAATAATGTAATTTTTTAATGTATTATCATGAATTGTCAATAACATTACTGGTTGTGACAAAAATATGACTAAGAATCAAATTACAGATTGAGAGGGAAAAAATGATGAAAGTAGTAATACCTGATTATTTTCTCGGAGTCGATTCCGAGTAGATTCGAATCCTATCGACTTCGAGATTTGCTTAAGAAACAAGCTAGCTTTTTTACAAAGCTAGAATTTGACTCAATCTGATTTGACTATTTTTGTGTGACGAGAAGTACCTAGCTGGCCGAGTAAGTAAGGCGCTTGACTCAAATTTGGGATGGTAACTCGAAACATCGTCGGTTCGAAACCAGCCATTTGGAAATTGGTTCTTTTTCAGAAGTTTAGATACTTCGACTGCTTAATGTACAAGATCAAGCCATGTTTGCAATTAATTGAGTGTTTGGGCAACGTTGGATTAAGAAACTGATCAGGAACTTGAAGCGTATCGGGAGAAATAGGAACGAGAGCTACAAAATTACCTTATAATGGAATATTGTCAGAAAGGACCTGGAATGTATCACATCACGCTCTCAGAAAATTGAAACGAGAGCCTAGGTTTAATCGGAACCTAGATTTGAAGATTGGAAGTTTGATTCTACATCACCATAGTGATATGAAATGTATCACTAATCAATGTAGAAAGTTAACATGTATAAATACGAATTCTAAGATTCGACTTAAAGTCGATGTGATTAGTTTTTTTTTTTTTTTTGGAGAATTTGACTTCTAGTAAAGTTTATTGGAGTTTACCGAATCAAGTTGACTTCGAGATCTGGCCATTTACATTTAAATTCAAAGTAAAAAAATGAAAGTTTATATCAAGAATGAAAACACATTTTAATCAAATGAAAGTTCTAATGTTACGAGTCACAATAAAAATTTAACAAATTTTTGTTTTTCAGCAGTATGTACCTAACTCAAGATTCAAGGTCACTAAGGGTCATTAACTGTCTAAAAGGTAAAACATGTGTCAGAAGAATTTAATATTTTCTCATTCTTGATCACTTCTAATAACTTCTTCTTTCTGAAATTAATGAAATATTGTACTTACTATTTTTTTCCCATTAGTCATCGCTACAGTATAATGAGTATTATGAGTAAAGCATATAAATAGTCTTTGTAATTTTATTTGTCTTACCATCAAAATATGAAAAAAAAAACATTTGAGCTCAAAATGTAAATGCTATATAAATTCACATATATTTACAAAGCTTTGGCCTTAATTTTCTTATTAACTTCTATAACAAAAAAAAACTTCTTCCCATTTCAATAAACTATCGTTTTTTCTATATTAACTTTAATATTATTATTATGTATTTATTGTGATAATTTAAGTGAGACTGTTTTGTGACATCTTTTCAAGAGACTTGTTGTGATGATAAGATTGTTACTGAGGCTTGAATGTTTCCACTTTGTAGTAATCTATTATTTGATTTGGTAAATTATATCCGTAGAGAGGAATTCCGTACTGCGGTAGGCCCCAATAATTGTACTCATTACTTGCTGGTAAAAAAGGTGTTTGTGGAATCTCTGTGGATGATTGAGTCTGAATAGAACTGGTTTGTGTTTGAGGTAAGTCGTGACCTGTTGATACGCTATGATTATCGGTTGATTGCACTGAACTTGGACTTAAAGGCGTTTGTTGTGGAATTGGCTGTTGAGGTGTTATGCTTCCTTCATTATTGCTTTGAACTTGACGATTATCTACAATGATTATCTCACGATCTCTGTGTCCACTACCACCGCTGAATGCTTTAGCTAATTGATAACCGGCAAGTCCGGCAAATAAATTCGTCATCATTCCACTTCCAAAACTGCTTCCACGATTTTGATATGCAGGCATAGATCCCATCATTGGCATTCCCATCATTGGAGACGGTCCACCCATATAAGGAGAGCCCATTCCTGCACCATACATTCCTGGCTGTTGACCAAATGGACTATGATGGCCCATGCTTGCTCCATAGCTTGGAGGAGCTCCATAGCTTCCATAGCTTGGTGGTGCTCCGTAAGCTGGAGGTGGTCCATGTCCATAATTTGCATGTGATCCATAAGGTGGTGGTGCTGCATTTTGTGCTCCATATAAACCTCTTGTAGTCTGTGGTATCTGAGGTCCTAATGGAGGTGCCACGGGATTGTGATTTTGTGCTGCAGTATGATGTGTATTTGTACTATGTTGGCTATTTGTATTCCATCCTACATCTTTTTTCCTTTCTGGTGTTTGTGGTTTTGGAACGGGAACGTGATCATCACCCTCATGTCCATGTTGACCTTAAAATAAATAGTAAAATAGTAAGTAATATTGACAATCAAATTTTGTTTATGCGCTTTAATCTGAAATTAAATTTGTCAATGCCTCAAAACTCTCAACGAAAACATAAAAATTGATTTAAAATTTCAAATTTTGTTTTTAGGAGTTATCAATAATTATTTATTTTAATATTAAATATTTATTATCTCATATTTAACTTTTAATGTCAGTAATTGAACTTAAGAAGGGTTTAAATTATGTTTTTGTCATTTAGCATCTTCTCTTAGCTAAATAGGGCACAACATCCTATTTAATTAAAATTCACAGAGTTTCAGAAAAAAAGTCATTTTTGTTTAAGGTCGTATTTATATAATATTTAACTGTTTTTGGATGATCGTTAAAGTGTAGGAACTCATTGAAATAATTTTTATAAAAAAATTGCTACTGAAGAGCGACTTAAAAATATAATTATAAATAATTATTTGCATTTATTTTATCTCGCTTAAACTTTAAATTTTTTAACGATTTATCAATTCATGGTCAAAGGTTTGAGTACAGATTTTTCAATATTTTTTTTGTTAACCTTAAATTATTTTATTTGCAAATTCTTAGAATTCCAAAAAAATCCGTTCCAAATATTTTCAGTTCCAAAAAATTATTTTCCAAATAAATATTTTACAAATAATTTTTTTCCAAAAAAATCTGTTCCAAATAATTCCGTTCCAACAAAAAAATTTCCAACAAAAAATGCTCCCCCCTAAGACACATGCAAAAACTGCAATTAAATTAAAAAATTTTAAAAGTAGGTTTTAAATTATAATTTTGAAATTGCAACACATTTGTTTTAATTTTCTATTTTTAAATGAATTTAAATCCAATTTTTGCTTCTAAAATTATAAAATTTCAAATTTTTTGAAATTTTTTTTAAATATTATAATTTTTTTTTTGAAAATTCACCTCTTCTCACTGATGGCGATTTAGATTTACTCCTTCTGCCTGTTATTCCAAACGATCTTTTGCCATCAATCGATTGCACATAATAGAGTTCAATAACGAGTAGCACACAAAAAAATGTTTTATAATTCACCTTCATTTTTCATAACAGTTCTTTAAAATTATTATTTTTATGTGGTTTATTTGTTTTAATTCCTCAGTTCGTTTAAAGTCCATCAAAATTCTATGCTTTTCTTTTTTTTTCTTCACTTTCTTTGAATTTCTTTTCAAATAAACTTTTTATCACTTCGACAAACAAACGATGACTGACAAGCTGAAGTTTATCCAAATTATATTTTATATTTCTATGCTTTTCTCATAAATTTTTTCGAGAAATATTTTTCTTTGTATCCAGCACAACATATGAGATAAGTGTGCATGAATATCAATGATACGATAGTTTTGCTTATCAAGTGAAGTTTTTCGAGTTAAAGAAATTGCCTGATACGTTCATTCAGAGCACTTCACGGATAATTTGTCAATTGAGTTATATTAAATTCAATAAATTTGTTGTTTGTATAGTAAATCATAACGTTTTAGTATGCTTATGTATAAAGCTTTTATGAGAGATTGTAATCATTTTAAATGAAAGAAAGAGATGAATTTATTTTAATGAAGGGGACTCTCTTAGAGAAACTGAGAGATGAATCAGGATGATTCTTTGCATTGTTTATTATTTTCATCATTTTTTTGTTTTGTTTTCCAAATAAACAGCAAAGGTTACACGTGAAAACGAAGCTGTATCAACAATAAAATATAAGTTGTCGTCAGGAAGTATAGACTAAATATGTTTTAAAAATTGTTTGATTAAATTTTTAAAGACATCCAATTATCATAGTGTAACAGCATAATAACGGTAAAGTAGTTGTATCTCAAAACAAAATTTTTCTCCTAAAATGAACTTAATGTAATACATGCTTACATTTGTTAGAAATAATGTCTTTTGCCATTAATTTTTTTTTTCAGTTTATAAGCAAGCTATTCGTCATGCATTCCAAATGCTCTAAAATCTTATTTTTAATATCAATTAAAATGAAGTTGAGTTAATTAAGTTTCTCTAATCTTAAAAAATCTAGATTTGAACTTTAAAGCCTTTCAATGATCAAGTATAAATCTGGTTCTTTGTTCATTAGAGGTTTGGTTTTTAGTGTAAAACAGATACTTAATTACTCACGGGATCCTTTTGGAACAAAAAAGACAATCACAACACTTATGAAGATTAAAAAAAATGTAATTCTTTTATATTATATATTTTATTTATATATTATATTATATATTTTTTATATTATTCTTTTATTATAAATAATTACATAATATTGTTCGTCATAATCATTCATGACAATCAAATAATTCATATCCAGTAATATTTTCTTTATTTGCAAAAAAAAAGGTTGATAATGGAGTAATATTTACAAAGCAATTTTTTCATTATTAAAACTCATGTATTGAGCTCAATGTATGCATCTTTAAAATATATTGTGTCACATTAGGTTTAAATTTTTCCATTCCTCAAAATTTAGTTTTTTCTAAAATTATTAATTTCACTGCATACATCTAGTCATTTGATTTTTGATGATGTCTCTTAACATAGAAATTATTTCACAAAACCTATTCAAATTGTTCATACCAGTTCATACTACAAAAATATTTTTTTATTTTATTTATGGAAATTGAATTTATGTTTGTATCCTGTCTCCATTCAGATGATCTCAAATGAATCTATGCATCCACATAATACATATTTTAAATAGATAAATTTAATGACGCGTTCAATATTGATTTACGTTTTATGCCAAGTTTTACTCTTTTCATCAAGTCTATCTTATTCCTGCTATTTAATTTTTTAAATTTTCAGAAGAAATTAAGCCAAAATTTCTGATCTGTAAGACATCGGAGCATGATTGCTGATTTCTTAATTCCAAAATGTTAATAACTTTTTCTGCAATATCTTCCAGAATTATCCAATTTATATCCTTTTTGACAAACTTTAGGTGCATCAGCTACAACAAATGGTGAAAAGGCTACTACCATAGGTACTTCACTGTTGTTATCTATTTCAGAAGTAATATTTGTTTGATTATGATTTTCAGGCTCACTTGATGTACTCATTTTAACTGTAATATATGCTCCAGAAACACACATCAAGAGTAAAATTAATGCAGCTAGTAAAAATGTTGGCACCTTCAGTAATTTTTCCATAGTAAATTTTTGAAACACTTTGAATGTTTTAATGAATACTTATCGACAATCTAATATCGAGTGAGATGTATTAAATCAATTGTACAGATATTAATATATCATGGTTTAAAGAAGCTAAAAATGAGAAAGGAAGCACTATGGGCCAGAAATGGAAAATTTTTCCAAAAATTATTTCTACAGCTTATATGATAGTCCTTATTCTGTCCTACATTTACGTCCTTAAAACTTTGCCTAAGTCGACAGCATGTCCGAGATATGGCACTTCAAAGTTGGTCAGACGACCATTTTCACGTTACATTGAAAATGCTCTCACCAGTCACTGGATGGATGAATCTCCTTCAATTTTTTTTTGGTAATAGCTTTAAATAGTTCCTTCATTTTAAGGTATAAACAATTGCAAAAAACTTTGGAAAATTTTGTGAAAAACTTGATTTTTCTCAAAAACCACGTGTTCGTCATACTTCCGTTTGTGTAGGTCTTCACAAGCACAACCAAAGTTACTAATTTCTTTTTTATATTAAAGATTACATCAAAAGCTATAACTTTTGCATACATGTCGTATAATTTTAACAAAGTTTTGGTAGTGAAAAAAATTTTTTTTATAAAAAAAACACCAATTTTTTGACAAAAATCGCTGTAGTGCTCCAGGGATACCCATGGTAGTGGAATTTTATTTCACATTTAGAAAGCTCTCTGGATATGCTATCAATTAATGCAGTAAAATGAACAAGTGTTCTCTTGGCAAAGAGCACTTTTTTGACTCTGAAAGTCGTATGTCGAGCAAGGTCAAAAAAGAAAAATAATCATAAAAATTTCAGTTTTAAGTAAAATTTAATTTTTTTAAGTTAGATTGATAGATCTTTTTAAAACGCGTCTTTTGAGTATAAATATGTCATAGTTTTGTCAAGTTTCATGATCAGTTTTTTAAAAAAATAGTTTTTTTCAAAAAAAAACTTGAAAAATAAAGTATTTGACTTTAGAATTTCATAAAATGCATTCTTTTTAACATTTTTTTCACTATTTTGTCTAGTTTTGCTCCTCGTTTTTTCCTAAACATAAATCAATAAGAACTTAACATAATTGAAGCCATTTGGAGGTTAAATTGAGTTAAAAATCGTTTAAAATTTTTGTATTTCTTAAATAGTTCTTTACACAAGTATCTAAGATATAAAGTGTTGCATAGTTTTGAAAAGGTATTAAAATTTCCAATATGTTAACATGAAAATTTTAGGAAAATTTTCAAGTAATATAGTCAATTTGGGTAAAAAACGCATTTTATATATGCTAGTTTTTAATGTTTTTCGTTTTTCTCAGCAAAGACTTTATGAAAAACTCTCAAAGTTTGCACACTTATTTGTTATATAAATGTTAATGACTCGTATAAGTTTTGGAATTTTCTTCAATATCTTTTCATTGATATGTAACAATCTACGAAAAAAATAAGACTAGCGAGAAATCAATAAAAAAAGTGTCAAAAATTTATGAAAATTCTACGCTATTTTAATTTTTTAGCATTTTCTGGTTAATTTTATTAAGTTTTGTAAGAGTGTTATACCTTTTTGCAAATTTATAGCTTAAGACTTTCATCTGCTTTCATCCATTAAAATTCGTATGAGTCAACGATAAGCACAACTGAAGTTAAATAAGCTTCACGTTGGCGCAACCAAAAATTTTGAATTTTTTAAAATCAAATTATTTAAAAGCTTTAAATTAAATCTTCAGGCTGCTATTAAATACATGAAACATTTATAACAAAACTAAATGAAAAAGTTTAATATTATAGCTCAAATAGCATTAAAATTAATATCTGGTTTTCTTCATATGGAACTGTCTTTTGTCGCCAACGTGAAGCTTATTTAACTTCAGTTGTGCTTATCGTTGACTCATACGAATTTTAGTGGATGAAAGCAGATGAAAGTTTTAAGCTATAAATTTGCAAAAAGGTATAACACTCTTACAAAACTTAATAAAATTAACCAGAAAATGCTAAAAAATTAAAATAGCGTAGAATTTTCATAAATTTTTGACACTTTTTTTATTGATTTCTCGCTAGTCTTATTTTTTTCGTAGATTGTTACATATCAATGAAAAGATATTGAAAAATGAAACAAAATAAGATATTTATTTATAAATAAAAAATCGGAATTATTGAGAAAAAAGGATTTTTAATATTGAAAATTTCAGATTTGGAGAACTCATGAAAAACTCAATAGAAAATTCCAAAACTTATACGAGTCATTAACATTTATATAACAAATAAGTGTGCAAACTTTGAGAGTTTTTCATAAAGTCTTTGCTGAGAAAAACGAAAAACATTAAAAACTAGCATATATAAAATGCGTTTTTTACCCAAATTGACTATATTACTTGAAAATTTTCCTAAAATTTTCATGTTAACATATTGGAAATTTTAATACCTTTTCAAAACTATGCAACACTTTATATCTTAGATACTTGTGTAAAGAACTATTTAAGAAATACAAAAATTTTAAACGATTTTTAACTCAATTTAACCTCCAAATGGCTTCAATTATGTTAAGTTCTTATTGATTTATGTTTAGGAAAAAACGAGGAGCAAAACTAGACAAAATAGTGAAAAAAATGTTAAAAAGAATGCATTTTATGAAATTCTAAAGTCAAATACTTTATTTTTCAAGTTTTTTTTTGAAAAAAACTATTTTTTTAAAAAACTGATCATGAAACTTGACAAAACTATGACATATTTATACTCAAAAGACGCGTTTTAAAAAGATCTATCAATCTAACTTAAAAAAATTAAATTTTACTTAAAACTGAAATTTTTATGATTATTTTTCTTTTTTGACCTTGCTCGACATACGACTTTCAGAGTCAAAAAAGTGCTCTTTGCCAAGAGAACACTTGTTCATTTTACTGCATTAATTGATAGCATATCCAGAGAGCTTTCTAAATGTGAAATAAAATTCCACTACCATGGGTATCCCTGGAGCACTACAGCGATTTTTGTCAAAAAATTGGTGTTTTTTTTATAAAAAAAATTTTTTTCACTACCAAAACTTTGTTAAAATTATACGACATGTATGCAAAAGTTATAGCTTTTGATGTAATCTTTAATATAAAAAAGAAATTAGTAACTTTGGTGGTGCTTGTGAAGACCTACACAAACGGAAGTATGACGAACACGTGGTTTTTGAGAAAAATCAAGTTTTTCACAAAATTTTCCAAAGTTTTTTGCAATTGTTTATACCTTAAAATGAAGGAACTATTTAAAGCTATTACCAAAAAAAATTGAAGGAGATTCATCCATCCAGTGACTGGTGAGAGCATTTTCAATGTAACGTGAAAATGGTCGTCTGACCAACTTTGAAGTGCCATATCTCGGACATGCTGTCGACTTAGGCAAAGTTTTAAGGACGTAAATGTAGGACAGAATAAGGACTATCATATAAGCTGTAGAAATAATTTTTGGAAAAATTTTCCATTTCTGGCCCATAGTGGGAAGATTCCAACGAAATGAAATGAGCAATGTGGAATTGAAGACAAAAAATGAGTTTTAACAAATATTTACATAACCAGCTCGCTTGTGTAAAAATCTATAGAAATACATATGAGTGAGTCTACATTTTTAACATTTTTTTTATCTATAAAATAATGAATTGGTAATTTCGGGTAGTGTCATTTTGAGATTTCAGCATTTTATCGCAAGGACGATGACTAGCATTAATTTTGTGGGAAAATTTTTAAAACAAAAAGAAACTGAGTCACATGCTTATTAATTAAATAGTTCAATCAAGATTTTATTTATATTTACAATTAGGTCTAAATTAAAAAAAAATGCAGAAAGAATATGGCTGTATTCGTTCAAAATATAGATGCATATGATCCAAAAAAATTATTACAAAAGGATGCAAAATAAATGCTTCAATGTGTAGCCTAAATGTGTATAAATTTTGAGCAAGTCGAAAAGCATGCGTCTGTAAAAACATGTAAACTTCAATTTTAGGTAAACAATTTATAAGCATATGAATATCTGCACATTTTTCTACTCTAATTGAATAATATTTCATACTTCAATTACGATCTTCCGGATAATATACTTCTTCTTTTCATTTGTTATTCATGTTTAAACTCATCACTTTGTGTGGAGAATGCGAAATAAAACATTGCGTGTTTTGAATTATACAGATTCATATAGCACAAATAAATCACTAATAATTTCCACTGTGCTTATACTAATAATAACGTCACACATTATTAAATAAGATGAAGATCATCTTCAATCTCGAAAATTGAATGACGTTAAATAATAATCAAATAAATATTAGTCATTTTTGTCATATGATTTATCAATTCAAATTCATGACTGATTTATGGTATTTCTTTTTTTTTTTCATAACTTTATGAAATTATTTTTTGATTTCAAACAATTCTAAATTAAAAATTTAATGTATGTTTCATGGAAAACTAATATTTGAAGAGATTGTTAATTTCTAAATTCACCACCAAATTCATGTGTACGCAGTTTTGATTGATTGTCGGAAATAAATTAATTGAAGTTTTCTGTTTAACCGGTTTAATCTATTTCAGTGTTGCATTCTGGCTATTTGTCTGGATCAGATAAATTCTGAGACAGAAATTTCTTCATAAAATCGATTCTACATGTAGAAAGAAAAAAACCATCTACATGTAGATTGTGTCTACATGTAGAATCTGTCTACATGTAGATTTAATGAAGATGTCTACGATTCTACATTCTTCTCTGATGTAGACCTGGAAAAAATGTAGAATTATAGACATCTATATCGAATCTACATGTAGACAGATTCTACATGTAGACACAATCTACATGTAGATGGTTTTTTTCTTTCTACATGTAGAATCGATCTTTACGAAGAAAGTTTCTTAGCTAGACAAAAACTATTGAAGAATCTACATTCTTCATCTAGTGTAGACATCTACATTTGCAACACTGATCTATTTTTTAATTTAAATCATGAGTGGAATTTAAAATATTCAAAGAATTTCATTTTTAAGACACATAGAAAAAATTAAGGCACTTAATCATCAGTTTGGTTTTTCCATTTCAAAGTGTACTGCAGATAAAAGTATTAGTTTGGATTAAAATTTGAATTATCTATAGGATAATCAGTCTTTTTATTACAAATATTTTTATTTGTCACAAAGATAATATTAAACCTTCACACCATATTTTTTTTGAATAAAAAATGCCAATAATAATAAACAATAAACATTATTCGTACAATAAGATTTAATTATTTTTTGAATTATTCCCAAGCTCCTCGAAGTAGTCAAGGCAAGCATTATTGAATAAATATATTAAAAATAGAGCATTTTAATCGCTCAAAATAGATATTTAATAATTTTTTTTTAAAACACAGGTCTGCAAATGCCTCCATGAAGTTTCGTTCCGGGTGGACAGAATGTTGGAACATCGATGACATTTGTCGGCTGAAGATGAAGATTTAAGAATTTCAGAAATTTTTTTTTTTTTTTTTTTATGAAATAAACTTACAAATTTGCTTTTAATTTCGTTAATTATTTCATTAATTTTGTAAAAGCTATCGTCAGTGATCATATCCTCAGGAATATTTTCGAAAATTCTTGACAAATCATCTCTATTTTCACTTGGTTGTTCTTCAATTGGATATGCATGCACAATTGCAATCATTATTAAGCACAAAATTAAATTCTTCATATTTAAATGCACTTTATTTTTTTTAAAGACTTTTTTTTTAAGAGTGTGGACGATTTTATTGAATGACTTCTCAACACTTAATGGTAGCTTTTATTATTTTGATGACAACTTAAATCAATATTGTTATCAAATTTTATCATGGATTGAGATTTTGGTATTAAATATAAAGACATAGGGGGACATGGGGATAAAAAAGATTATTTGAACGTAGTTTTGAGCAGAAATTTATTGTTTGTCCAAAATTTTTTGGGTTTAACAGGTTTATTTTGTAATTCTTATAAATATCTTTTTTTTATTAATTTACCAATATAAAGGTTTAAATACATAATGGGAGGGGATTCTAGATTTTATTTATCAGAAAATATTTCCAAGAGGTCTTTATTTTTATAACTCTTTAAACATACATATTTATAAACTAATAGATTGGCTTGCATACACTCCCTGAAGGCTTTGTTCCATCTGGACAGTGTAAAGGACCATCAAAAATATTTACAGGCTGCATTAATAAGACAAATAAAAAAATATTAATTTCTGAACATTGCTCTACTTAATATAAAATTATTTGATACCTCATTGAATATAATATCACCAATTCGTTTTAAAATTCCAGATATTTCTTCATTTATTTCAAAGTTGTCAGGGATATTTGTTAAAATATCATTTACATCTATATTATTCACATCTATATCATTCATGTTCAGCATTTCGTCAATCGGAAGTGAATAACAACCAATAATCACAAATGAAACAATTAATAAAACAACTTTCATATCTATTTTTTTCATTGAAAACTTCTTTCAAGAATATCGAGCGAATAAAGTGTAAAGAACTTCTAAATATTTGGTATTGCTGGCAACTTACTTTTAAGACATTTTGAAATCCCATTCTTATCGACTTATAAGATCATCCACGATAAGAATTAAGCTTATCGCGGGCATATTTTGCGGCAAGTTATCGATAAACTTACACATATTTAACTTTCTTTGTTAGTATTTCCGCTTTTAAGAACACAGGAAGAAAAAACTTTATATTTTTTATCTGCAATTTATTCAATGTTTAATTTTATTTTAACAATTAAACTCTCAATTAAAATTTTCATTGATTTCACCATCAAAAATGCACTTTTCAACAAACTTTACAAATTAATCCATCACGGTTTGGCTGGTGTAGCTGCTGATATAGATGCTGGTTTTTTTGCAGTTTTATCAGGTGTAACGTTCAATTCTGTGGTTTTACCACTTTTTTTCTCGGAACCTGTTGCAGCTGGTTGAGATTTTACTGTGGGAAGTTCGTTCTTGGAGCTATCCTCAGCAGACTTTTCACTGTAAACAGATAGAACGAAGATTCCAAACAACAAACCGAAAACTAAAATTGACCTCATTTTTGTGATCCTTTTTTTAAACTAAAGAAAGTTATTTCTAATCAAAACTATTTATATTGATTTCTTTCAAAAAATCTGTTGGAACTAATTTATGATTCTCCACTCATTAACTTTTTAATACAGCATGAAATTAATTGTTTATGCTCTTATTAAATTTAGGAAAATGATTCATTTGATATGCTGATTGCATAACTCTAAGGCGAACAAGGAAAGAGCTTTTAATATATCTCCTAGACCAGTTTTTATATTGAATATTGATGTTTTGTAAATTTCCAACTGTTGATTTGCAAATGAGGTGAAAAATCAATTAATACTTGGTAATTAAATATTTAATTGTTTTTGTGGCTTTATTGGCATTAAGAAGAGTTTTCGTTTTATTATATTGAATTCAGTGTTGTTTTGCCTTTTCGTTTGATGCAAAATGCTCAAAGTTTCGGTAAAGCTTTTGTTTTCATTTTTAGTCTTTTTATGCATTGTTGAGATCGTCGAATTAAGAAAATTACGAGATGATAATGGATTGTTTAAGGATAATTCCATTAAGAAATTGGTAAACTTTAAGTAATGAAAAGATTAAAATAAACAATAAAAAATTAATTAATTTAGCAAACTGCAACTGAAAACCTGAGTAAGTTCATATCAAGGGAAAACAATGTTTTAGCGGAGATTGAAGAAAAAAGTAAATTTATTGTGGTAAGTTGATTTTCATAATAAAATTTATATCGGTCATATTGTCCTTATTAAAATCTTTCCCTTTATATATTATTTTTCATTAGAAATTACTACAAAAGTATCAAAAATTTCTTAAAAATACCCCACCAATCACCAACAAAATTTATGTCAAACTTCAAAAAAGCAACAAAAAAGGTAGACCTTATGATCATTAAATATATCAAATTGTTTTCAAACTAATGTAAATTTTAGATGATGGCAAGACTTTCATTGACAATTTTTTAAAGCTTTCGAACAAGGAAATGAAAGTCATGGTTAAAAATGCAATTAAAACACTAACATGTCCATTAGGTCAGGTATATATAAATCGTAAAGGTTGCATCCCAAAAAAACTTGCAAATTTATACCAAGAAAAAATGATTCGTGATTTAATAACTGGAAACGAATACTTAAAAAATAATGAAAGTGCAAAAAATAAAATCAGGGATTATTCTTCAAAATTGATTCAAAGTGTTAACAGAAACAATTTGCTTTTTGAACTGACTGAACCATACAAACTTGTTAAAAATGAGAATAATGCACATGTGATTAATAATGAATTTGTTAAAGACAAAAGTTCAAACATTTACGTTCATCCTTTGAACACTCTTAAAAGTAGAGATACCATCAAAAAAATCAGTCAAGACAAAATAAAGTTCAAAAATCCAGAAACCATAAACTTTGGAGATACTATCAATCTTTTTTACAAATATACTATTGAATTAGAGCCCAAAACTAAATTGACTGTAGTACCAGTTGGGAGAACTGACATGATTAATGGATATTCAAAGGCATCTAGAATACATACTTTTAATAGATTTAAAAATCTTAGTAAGAGCCAATTTATATCCAATAAAAACAGAATTCAAACATTAGGTTCTATTTATCCGAAAAACATTGAATTCACTTATGGATCAAATTTAGGAAATAAAAAACAAATTCCATTGAACACAAAAAACCAAACACAATCAAATACAGAAACAAAGATGACTCCTAGTTCTAGACAATCTATCGAAAACAATTTTGAAATAATGGCACTTAAAAAAGAAAATGAAGAATTAAAAAACTTGCTTTCAAAAGTTAATCTTGAAAAAAATCTTGATAAGACAAATCAATCGGTTAATAATTCGATTGAAACTAATCGTAAGATTCATTCTGCACCCAAAAATAAATTTCCTGAAAAGATAAAAAATTCGATAGAAAATCCATTATATCCAGTTATAAAAAGTGAATTTCAAAGTGTAAAAGAAAAAGATGAGAAGCTTCCAAAAACCGAAAATTCAAAATTTTCAGACTTATTGAAGAAAATGGCTGAATTAGACAAACAAGGTAAAGCAAAGGAGCTGAATAAGTTTTCAGAAAATCTTTCTGAATCAGATAAAACTTCACAATCATCTTTATCTGAACTTATAGTACCAAATTTATATAGTGAAAATGAATCAGAAGAAGCTGTTGATGAAGGGGAAATTTCCAACGATTCTTCAGTATTAGATAAAGCTATTCAACCCGAAAACCCTTTTGCAACACCAAAATCTTCACCTAATGCGGAATTAAATCATTTAAATTCAAATAAAACTGAATTACTTCAAGTGAAAAATTTTAATCCAAATGTGTCTAATGGAACGTCAATTTCAAAAGAAGAAAATACCAAAATTAATAAATATGAACCTTTAAAAGAATTGAAAAAAGGAGTTACAAATAAGGATGGAACGGTGCTCAGTAATTTGGGAATGGATAAGAACTTGAACATCACCGATGATTTAGGTGATAAAGTGTCAAATATTAATGCAAAACCTATTAATGAAAATAATCCAAAAATTAAAAAATCTCCAGAAATTAAAAGCACTCCACTTTCGGCTACTTTATCCTCAACATCTAATCTAACTTTGGAACAGCCAAATACAAATTCGTTGAGTACAGTTCAAAATATTTTAGAAAATAATTTTTCATCAAATCAAAATTCTCCAAAAATTTTATCGGATTTCGACGACTCAACCTCTGGTCATCATAAACAAAAGAGCGAAAATGTAAATGTAATTCAAAAAGTTAAACCTCCTTCATATGATTACAAATCAGTGGGTGAAATTAATGATGAAAAAAATAATTAAGAAACAAAAATCATCTAATGTTAACGGATCAATAGCTGGTGATTTCATGTTGTAATGTAAAATTTTCTAAATACATTTCAAATAAAGCAATTTTAACATCAGTTTTCAAATAAAATTTATTCAAATATTAAACAATTAATCTTAAAATGATTTGTGCTTAATCATACATATTTGGTAATTAATAGAAAGCTTTTATAGAAATATTATTAAAGTATAGCTTACAATAGTTCATACATTATTCATATTTGAGATGGGTATGAAGTTGAGAGATTATTTGAACAAGTTTATCTAATCTAGTTCGGGATGTTAATCTTTTTTTACTTATAGTATTATAACTTGTGTAATCCTATGCATCATATTTTATACTTAAATTGTTAAACCTTCAAATCCTTAAGTATTTCAGAAAACTATAACATTGCCCCAAATTGTACGAAATAATTGGGAAAGTAGGCAAAGCTCATAGTTTAAAATTGGATCGGCGTCCTTAATATATTTTATAATTAAATAAACTATTATTTCGATGTTTTGTTCACACTTAGCATGTTAATATTGATTTTTTAACGATAAACTAGTCGTGGCTTTCCAGTACTATCCAATTTATATCCAGGTTCACAAACTTTAGGTGCATTTAAAACTCCAGCAACAAATTGAGGCTATTGCAATAAAAATAAATTAATTTTAAATATATTTCTAAAAACACCTCAATTCAAAAATTATCAATTTCTTAAAAAATAGTTTTACCTTTTTTGAATCATTTTTATTTACATTTATTACACGTGGTTGATTTTTATTACTATTTGTCTGTTTATTTTGGTTCACTTGTGAACTACTTGTTCTATTACTCATGATTTTAATCTTTGATTTTGATTATAAAGTTAATACTGTGGACTTGACTATCGTTATTGACAGCGCAAAATATCTTTAAAAATGAAAGAAATTTTCTACATACACTGATTTTTACTTATTTTTAGAGCATATGATAAGGAAAAAAATTTGCGATAAGATAGTCAAATGACGCACATGAAATTTTATCATAAAATACCTCTAAAATCAGCGAGAATTTGCAAATCGATCAACGTGTTGACATTGGGTGACTAAGAAGTTATGCATTCAGTTCACATGAAATTAAGATAATTTAATTCTAAATATAATAAAAAAATTTGCAACGTCGTAAACCAAGCCTTTATTTTTTTTTGTTTTTAAATCAATTAACATGACGTCATGAGAGTAAAGCCGAAAGCTAAGGTTTCATTTTTGTGGTGTTGAAATAACAAACAAAGTAAATACTGCAATAATTTGAAATTTAAAGATTTACAGACAATTTTTATTCATAAAATTAGTAATAGAGCATTAAAAATAAAGAGGATTAAAAATATTCGGCGTCACATTTTTTTCCTTAGTCGTCCATTGGAATCTCTTCTGTATCCGGGAGGGCAGTTCTGAAAAAAGAATTAATTAATAAATTTGAAAAAAAATAATGAGATTTGTCACTTACATCGGGTACATTGAAAATATTTCCTTTTGTTGGAGGTAAAAATGTGGATGAACTTGGAGGTTTCTTGCCCTTTGATTCTTCACTATATTCTTTGAATTCTGATGAAACTAGATAAAAAATCAATTCAATCATTAAAAATTCACTTAGGATTTTTCAGGATATCCTTACAATTTTCTTTCTTATTCATGTCAATGATATTTTTTATTTTGCAGGCTTCTTAATAATAAATCTTTACTATTGAATGGTTGTTCGTAAAATGACAAAAATTTCGCGCTTTTAATCAGGAAAGCATTCACTTTATCGCTTAAGAATTTTATGACTTTGATACCGTAAAACGCGATAGCGTTGGCTCGTTAAAATTATTCATCATTTTTTTAAAAATAAATGATAAGGTTTTAACAAGAAATCTGCACCCGTTATAATCGCTGCACTCATTAATAATTTTTCGAATTTTCCAATTTATTAGAATTTCTGACATCACAATCTTGCTTAACCAAACACATCATAATAATGTCATCATTATTAAAGCGATATCCAACAATTGGATCGAAAATTTCATAAAGTCACAATAAAATTATTGAATATTTGAACAGGTAAAACATAAAATTTATTGAATGGAACTGTTAATATAATTGATGAGCCATTAGTCTGTCAATGGTATGAATATCAAAAATTTGATGGAATCAAAAAGCAATCGCGTTGGCAAAAGAAAAAAAAAATCAACTGTTGCATTTTATATTACCATAACAAAACGATTTATTTATTTTATTGTAGCATTTGTAAATGCTTAACAATTCATTGAAGCTTAAAACGCAAGAATGCAATACTATGTTCTGCTATGAATAATTGACCTTAAGTGAAGTATTTCTTGCAAAATCATCATTTTAAGCACGTTATTTTAATGAACTTGAAGTTTCTTTAATTTTTTTATAAAACATTTAAACCATTTTAAAAACATGATTAATGTTTCCTTTACTTAAAAAGCATACAAACTGAATTTCTTTATAAATTGACTTATACGGCATGCAAAGATTGCATTAAATATTTCTTGTTGAGTGAAAGCGTTTAATCATGTCGTTTAAGAACATATATTTGATAGTCTGTCTATTGTCTTGTGTTATTTCAGTTATTTCTATTCCAAATATCAAAAGAACAAACAATGCTGAACCATCAATAATAGAAGAGGAAAAAAACTTGGCATCAAATGAAGACATTTTAGATGATACAACAACAATAGAGTCTGAGACTATCAAAACTCAGGAGAATGAAATTGACAGTGAGATATTGAGAGATGAATCTTTAATAAAAACAACAAATGCTGAAGAATTGGAAATATCAACACAAAGTTCACAACAAAATCTAAAAACTCAATTATCATCAATTGACATATCGTTGATTCAAAAACAATTAATTGAACATTTTAGGAAGCAGCTAACAACAAATGCAATTCGAGCAATTTTTCTTGTGCTTAATGAATTAAAAAGACGACAAAATGTAAAAAGTTTCGAACAACAAAATGCTGAAGAATCAAGATTGATTGAATCACGAGTGCAACATGAGCATTGTGATTGTAAATGTGATAATGAAAGCAACGACCGTAAAGATTCCATTGAAGAGGATGAAGCAGAAATTATAATTGTCGATAAAACAAGAAGAAATAAAGACAAATTCTTGCCAAATGAGAAAAATCAGTCTCAAATTAAAAAGAAATCAAAACAAGTTGAAAACAAGGTTGTTAAGGAATCTACTAGGTGTAAGAGCTGTTCTATAAAGGGTATAGAAGAAAAGTTGTATAGATATTAGCTTAAATAAAAATAATAATTTTAACTACCGAAATTTAATTAAAGATGTTTTGATCTACCAAGGAAGTTCATATATACATAAAGGTTCGTTCATATTAAAAAGGAGTTTATTAAAGAGGTTCACGAAATTCTTAAGGTTGTTTGAATCTCGAGTGAGAGAAAGCTGTGTAATGATTCCCTTAATCGTTTCCTAAATACGCCTTCTAAATTTAATAAAAACTTATTATTCAAAGAAGTGTTGAAAAATTCATGGAATCTCCTATTGCAGTATCATCACAAAAAGCTTATAAATTGACATGCATTTTTCCGAAACAGTTGGTTCATTTTCTATTCACGTAGCCAAGTTTTTTTCTCTACATATTTTTCATTTACTTCCAGTTGCATGTATGTATAAAAGCACTAATAAATGTTAACATAAGAAAATTACAAATTTTTTCATATCTTTTATAGCTTGGATGGTTATTTTATTATTTTTTTAGTCTAATAAATAAAATAAAATAGATTTTTTTTGTTGCTTTATTTGCTATTTTGCATATAGCAGAAAGAAACGTTCATTCAATTTATACTTATTGTTGCTACTGCTATTACAATGAAGAGCAAAGCGCAAAGAAGAAAGAAAAATTCTAATTGTTGCATTCCATATGATTTCACATAGTATGAGCAATAAGAAGCAAAAAGGGAAAATAAAAACATCAAAGCTCCTTTGTAAGCTTATTCAGCATTAGCATTGTAGTGCTTTTCTATATCTTTGTACGGAATTTCGTTTTTATTTCTCTTCTGCACAACATTTATACATTGAAAATCATATCCTGTATATGTCTGTATGTGTGTCGTAAAAGCTTCCTTTGAAAGTCATGCACAAGCGCATTTTGAGGTGACACATTGATGATGATAAGCAAAAATAGCAAAAAAAATCCTCCCTTTCTTATTTTATTCCAAACTTTACTCACTCATTTTGCTTTCTACATTAACCATAAATTGATTTGACGGCAGAATTAAATTTAATTGGGTGCCAGCCAAATTAAAGCAAAAGGAATAAAAAGTGTTTGAGAATAGCATGAAAACAAACAGGAAAATGAGGAAATTTGCTATTTTATCATGATTATTAAACATTCTTTTACTCACAAAATAGTTTTCTTAATTATGATATAAAATATTTACAAAATCATTTTCACACTTATTTTCTATGCGGATAGTGCCGATGTGATTAATTGAAGAAAAAAATTCGTTTACAGTTTTGACAATGAATTTTTCAAGACAGTCAATTGTCCACGAAAAACAGCTTTATGATTGGATTGCATCAACAATGACATTCATCATTTAATAAATATTACATTGGTTTTTAAATTAAAAAAATCAACTTATTAAATCAATGTGACAAATCACATCATTTTTTAAAATTTTAATTAAAAACCTCTTAATTTCATAATTGTTATGTTTAAAAACAAATTTAAAAGAATAATTTGACATATTTTAACAACATGCTACATCCCTGCAAAAAAAAAATCTCTCTCGTTTTTACTTTAAAACATTGTTTGAAAACATTAAATGTGTAAGGACACAAATAGTATTCATTGAAAACATTCTCTTACACATAAGCTTTCCGTTTCAGTAGCGAGTCACACGTTTTTTCACCTCTTCGTCGTTTGACTTTCTCAATATTGTACAAAAACTTAAACTTCTCTTACATTCATCAAAAAACTATTAAAACTTTAAAAAAGTAGTAAAACATTAAAAAGATTTATGTTAAGTAAAAGTGAATTGATGAATTAACTCTAAAATTTGTTTGAAAAAAGCTTTTATCTATGAATCGAATGAGACGAAAAAAATCGTGAAAGTGAAAAAAAAAATCTAAGGAAATAGAAAAAAAAAATTATATGTAGTGGAATTTTTCTCACTTCATCTTTTCATTGCTTAGTGAGAAAAGCTTAAAAAATTGAATTATATTCTTGAGAAAGTTGAATTTCAGAGAAACTTATCGTGTGTTTTACTAACCATAAAAAGTGTAAAATTAATATGCAGGCAATTTATTCATAAAAAAAGGATATATTATTTGTCTAAGCTCGAAGAAAAAATATTCAATAAAAAAAAGTCAGAATTAAACATACATACATATATTTAGTAATGGAATAAACTAATGGTGAAAAAGTGAAAATAAATCTAGTAAGTGTGTATGATAAAATATTCCTTTATCATCAAGTGTAATAAATTCCAAACAAAAAAGGCAACAAAATGAGATATTTTTGCAGTTCATGAACAAAAAGAAAGAAAAAAAAATCATAGAAGTAAAAGATAAATAAGGCAAAAGGAATTTCGTTGTTGTTGCTATTAGTTTTTCTCTCTCTCTTGTTTCTCTCGCTTTCTCTATGCTTATGCTCAAGGCCCCAAATGCTGTTGTAAGTTATATGGAGGGAAAAAGAGAGGAAAGCATAAGAAAATGTGTGTGATGTATTGAAGAAGATAAATTGATTTTGAATGAAATTAAAGTCAAAAATTCATAGACTTATATTCATCTTTATTTCATTAGTAACTTTGTTTACATTTTGAGAAGCACACTAAGAACTGCAGATTTATTTTCTTCTTATTTTCCACTATCTGTGCCAAAAATCGACTTGATTATTCACAAAGTCGTATGTAGAAGTTTATTTATTCACAAAAAAAAAAACTTAAAGCAAATCAGTTTATAATGTGCAGCAAAGTTTCACTTCATAAAATTTAAAATTAATATCATAGCAGTGAGAAAGCCAAATAGACTCAGGATCTTCTATCTGAAAACTAAACGACCACGACAGGAGCGTAACCAGAGGGGATTTTGTAATTTTTGTATGTCACTAGCTTAATGAGAAAATGTTTAATACATACCGCAATAAATCCTTTCTAACAATGCGTCAAAAAAATTTAATTTTTCATATCAACGACACCCTGTCAAAAAATGTTTTACTTTATCCTGAGTGAACTAATTTTAAACTAGACAATTTTTTTCATTGGCTTTTCAAACCATCACCATATAAAATAGTATTATTAGTATAATCAGAATAATAACAGGGAGGATGATAATAACACTTTGCTGCATTTTTATTTATCATTCATGATTGATTAAATTGTTCATTAAAATACCATTAAAAAATGATTGAGGTGTTTAATTTTTACGTTTCTTTATGGAATAATTGAAGCTTATGCTCGTTATTGATCAAAATAGTAGATTTTTCTGCTGATTTGTTTAATAGTTTTTAAAAAATTTGTTCATGTATTAAATTAAGATTGATATTTATATTTAAGTCTTATGATTTATCAACATCACACAAATTCTATTAGCAACAACTTGACAACTTTTCGCACTATTTGAAATAATTATAAAAATGACTAAAATTAATTAGATGTATTTGTTTGTTCTTCCAAAAAATATCAACAGTTCGCAGAAAAAAAAAAGTTCCTACTGTGTAAACAAAAACTCATGTTATGATGAATTAAGCTAATTAAAAGTATATATAAATGATCAAAATCGAACGTAAAAAGCCGGTTAATTCAATTTAGTGTAAGCAATTTCGTGACATTTTTTCTTCTCATCGTTGAGGTCCGATAATCTCTCAAAGAAATAGGTATTCTCGGAAAATTCTTGATTTCATATCAACATGACATTTATTTTTCGATTCTTGTATTTGAATAGTTTTGTTTTTTTAGAAACAAAGTTTTATAACCAAATTAGGGGGGAAGGTTAGTAAGTAGTGTTTAAAGTTTTGCCCTGGAGCGTACATAGTTGAATACCAGGTTTTATAAAAATAGTGGTCAAAATCTAATTTTCGTAATTGAACTTTCAATATATTTGGAAAAGTAAATTTAATATGCAGTGCGGCAGTAAAAACTATGGATTTTTCAGCTTAAATATTTCCAGATTTCAAACCTTCATAAATTTGCTTGCATTTAAATTTCTTCATAAAATAACTTTTTTAAGTTGCAGAACAAAAAAAAAGGTGTGAAAGTTATGTTCTTGTTTCATAATTTTAAGTATTTATGTGGTTAAGCTTTGAATACAGAGTCTGAGAAAGTGTTTTTCAATGAGTCAACTTGTGATAACAAGAATCTTTTTTATATTCTGAAAATGTGATTTTCTAGACATTGCATTTGAATGTATCATTGCAAACAATTATGAAGTCTAGAGTTGTTTAATTGTTGAATTAAAACAAATGACCGATTCCTCTAATCAAATATAAAGAATATCAACAGACTAAAGTGTAATGAGAAAATTGTCGCTTAAAGTAGAAACTGCCGGTTGAGTTCGATAAATGAACAGTTTTGTAAGGAGGAAGTATCGTATCAACATTCATCACTCTTTTCAATATGCACTTATTAGATGTTTATAAATACTGAGTACACAAACATCCTTGATGATAGGCATAATTTTATTCTTATCTTCATCCATACTATCGTCTTTCTATCAATATAAACACATACATTCTTCAGTTTGTGCTTTTCATGTGTCATTTGATTTCCTATTTTTGTTGATAAATTATTTCTTTCATCTTTAGCCTTATAAGCATTTTATTATTATTACATAGTCATAAATAATTAAGTAAAGGAAATTTCCAATTTAATAAGAAACGATGAGAAAAGATGAAAAATGATAAATTCATAGACATGACTTTATACGTAGCATGTTTTTCTTATTGATAAAGATGTATTGCCAACACTTTTTCTGTGGATGGTTATATTCAGGCCCAACATATAGAACTTGAATATCATCAAAGACATTTTACTAACGTCCTTTTTACAAAAGTATCGTAGGCGATAGTTTGGCAAATCATATAGACCAAATCAAACATTTATTAAAGACTAATTTTTTAAAAAAAAATTGGCCCTTTTGAAAGATACAAAAGAAAAACAAGGGAAATTCATATATCCATCACAAAAGTGAAGTCAACTTTTCCTTTTTTTTGTGAATGACATTTATCAAGACATAAAATTTATTTGCTGTATGCTCCAATTGAAAGGAAGAAAAAAACTTT